GAAAATATTTAGAATATTTAAAAAAGTATCTCGAAGATTTATTAACTTTACTTATATTATTATAAACTAAGACCTTCGTATTATAATAATAAATATAAATAGAAAGTAAGCTAAGAATTAAGTATAACGTATTTTTTATTTAGATTTAATATATATTAATTTATATAATATAGAATTTAAAGACTTTTTTTATAATCTAGATTTAAAATTATAATAAAATAAGTATCTTTAATATATATTAATCTTCTACTAAGTATACGTTAAGCGTAATTTTATTAAGAAATTTTCTAAATATCTAATTTACTTCGTAGTTAATAAGATTTAAAATATAATAAATATAGAAGATTTAAAGAAAAAGATAAATAGTATATATATAATTTATCTCGAGCTTAAGTTATAAATTAATAATAAGAGAGTGCTATAGATTCTCGTAGGATTTACTCTAGAAAGTTCTAAAGTAGAAGCTTAATAGTAATATTATACTTAAAAAAATATAGAAATTAAAGAGAGTAATTATTTTAATAATAATAACTTTATCGATTATTAGCTATTTAAACTTACTATCTATCTTTAATAAGTTATATACTAAGTATATATTAAATATATATTAATAATTATAGATTAAAAAGTTATATATAAGAGATATTTATTAAAAAGAATATAATAAAATAGTAAGAAATTAATTAAATCTAAAGAAATAATAGCGAAATTATACGAATAATCGTATTTATAATAAAGAAAGATAAGATTAATCTATTTTTTTAACTTAGTATATATTTTATATATAATTATCTAATAATAATCTTTTTATTTTAGATTATAGAAATTAGTAATAAGCCGCTTAACGAATTTAAAATCTAAGTCTTTTATAAAATTTTAAAAATTCTTATAATAGTTTAGATCTAATTATTAATATTAATTATAGTTAATATAAATTTAGCGTAAGCTTAGCTAATACTTAATCTATTAAAATTACTCTATCTCTTTAATTGATTTTAATAAGAAATCGCGTAATCTTAACTTCTATCGAGCGTATACTATTACCGCTATCTTTATTATAAGAAAATATATCTAATAATAAAAATTGAAGATATATATATACGCCTTCGATTTAGATAATTAACGATAAGATATATATATAGTATATATAGATTAAGCGTTAAAGAATTATTAAATTTAAGTAATAAAGAGAAGAATATAAGCTAGATTAAGAGTTATAGAATTTAGAGGTTTAAAATATAATTTATATAATTAATATAAAATTAGCGTACGCTTAATATTAATTAACTACTTTATCTAAGATTATAATTTAATTTATCTTTATCGCGTAAGATTAAGAAAGTATTACTTCGAAATACGCTTAGTATAACTCTAATAAGCTTATCTAAAAATCTTCTATCGAATTTTCTATTTATTAAATTCGAATAATTATTAAGAGTAAGTATTCTTATTAGAAATCTATTTAGATATTATTAATTACTAATTTTTAAATATTTATTAGTATTCTTAAAATTTCTAATAATTTTCTAATAATATAAAAAGAGAATAAAATATATATTATATTTTATAACGAAGAAGATTATTAAGCTTTCGTTTAAGCTCGAGAATTTAAAGAAGTAATAATTATTTATATATTAGAAAAGTTAGATAAGCGTAGATACGAAGTATAAAATTAATATATATAAGATATAAATTAAACTTAGCTGAAAATAATAGCTATTTTATATCTTAATATTAAAAGTTAATTAGATATAAAAGTTAATTATTTATAATAGAGATATATATTAGATATAAATAAGTAATAAATTTTATTTAATATATATTAATCGATTTTCGTCGATAGTAATATTATTTAATATATATTAAATTAAAACTTAGTATAAGGAAATAGCGGATATTAAGTATCTTAATACGATATCTTAATACGAAGATAGAGAATAAGCTATATATATACTAGAATAAAAAAAGAAAGATAAATAGTTATATATAAAGACGCTATTTAATAAAAGTTAAATTTATATTAAATAGTATATATTAGATAAAAGTTTTATATATATATAAAATAAATATATAATATTTTAATATTATTAATAATATATACTTTATCTAAGCGATAGAGATAAGATAAAAGAAATAGCGAGGTTTAAATATTAGCGTTAGCGATATATATATTAAGTATATATCTAATTTTACTTATTAGATAGCTTTTTAAACTTTTTAGTTATTAATATATATTAGATATATACTAAGTATAAAATAAGCGTACTTATAACGACGAGTATTTTTATAAAAACTCGAGATAGATAACTTCGAACGGTGGCGATAGAGAGGAAAGTCGTTACGCTAAATATATAATTAGTATATATAAAGTATAAAGATTATATATACTTATCTTACGCTTACGCGTAAATTTAAAAGTTTTATAAGAAATTAATTAAGAATCTCTTATTAGTATATACTCGATATAAGCTAAATACGATTAAATATTAATTACGAAATCGTTTAAGAAAATAAGAGTAGATTTAATAAATATTAAGCTTATATTATATTTGAAATTTAATAAATTAAATAAGTTTTTAAGTTAAATATAAGTATTTATAGATAGATAATAATATATAATAAGCTTATATTTAATATATACTCTATTTATATAATAATAAAATCGAGTTTTATAGATTATAGCGAAGTTAAGATTAATATATCTACTTAGCGTTAATTTAATATATATAATATATATACTTTAATTTACGCGATAATCTCTATATTAGTTATATATCTATTTAAAGAGCTACTCGTAGATCTAATTCTATAAGATATTAGCTTTATATATATTTAGTATATATTTAATATATCTAGATTTAATTAGATAGATTTAATCGCGTTAATTTCTAGAGAGAATATAGAGCTTAAGAGCGTTATCGAATATAAGTTTAATATATATTTTATATTTATATAACTTACTTCTCGCTAGCGATAGTCTTTATTAAGATAATATTATATCGAGTTAGATTAATAATTAAATATTATTAATATATATTTAGCTTAAGTTAAATCTTAATATTTATTAACTTTATAATACTTATTATAAATATATTAATAAAGCTATTAATAAATAAGCTTAGATTATATATATATTTAATATATTTCTTACTTACTAAGAATTATTACTCTTAAGTATTAAATATAATTTTATATAATTATATTTTATTAATTATAATATAATAGCTATATATTATTAATATATATTTAAAATATATAAAGCGTAATAACGATTAATATCTTATCGTTAATAATTAAGAGAATCGCTTTAAAATTAAATACTATTATATATATTTAATATATATCTAATAAATAATTAAGATATATAAATATATATTCTTAGCTATAGTTATTTAATTAATTATATATACTTAATATAAATATATTATAAAGATATTTTAAATTTATTATTATAATCGTTTATAGTAATATTAATAACGCGAGCTAATTATTAATTTAATATATACTCTCTATTCTTTTAATATATATATAACTTATAAGATAAAATTTAATTAATATTTATATTAATTATTAATTCTATTATATATATTTAATATAATATTCGCTAATATCGAATATATACTTATTATAATAATATTTAAACGCGGAGAGATTAATTGCATTAATAATCTAGAGATTATTATAGATTATTACTTATATAGATAATATACTTAATATATATATAATATTTAATAATAAGAAGATAAGATAGCGTAATCTATAATATATATATTAAGTATATATAGAGTATATACTAAGAAGAGTATATTAAAATATTAGAAATCTAGAAGATAAATATAAAAAATATATTAACGCTAGATAGATATAATATATATATATATATAGCTTAATAAGACTTAATATATACGCGAAGCTAAGAATATATATTATTAATATTAAGTATATATAGCGTTTTAATAATTATAATATAAATTTAAATATTTATAAATCTTCTTTTCTTTATTATCGTAATATTAAATATTATTAATCTATATTAATAATAATAATTAAAAATAATTAAAAATAAAGTTTTCTATTTATTATAAATATTTATTTATTAAATATATATTCTATTAATTCTCTACTAAGTAAAGATCTACTCGAAGGCTAAAGCTTACTAGTATATACTTAATATATACTTCGCTTTTATTATATAATACTAATTTTTTAAATTTATAACCTCTTAATTTTAATAATTCTAAAATCTATTATATATTTATTTTTAATATAATTTTATTATATAATTAATATATATATTATTCTAAATATTATTTAATAATGAAGTCTATAGTAGAATACCCTCCCTAAAATATTTAAAAATTTTTATTGTTGTTCTTTAATGCAAGAAAGGAAATTTAAAATTTTTTGGTTTGGTGTTGTTGTTGGGGGGTGGGGGGGTAGGTTTTGTTTTTTTTTTTTTTTTTTTTGTTTTTTTAGTGAAGGGGGGGGGGGAAAAAAAAATTTTAAAAAACCCCCCGAGGGGGGGGCCCCCCCGGGGGGCGTTTTGAGGGGGGGGGGTGGGGGGGGGGCCCTAAAAAAAAAGGCCCCTTTTAACCATTTTAAATCGGGGGAAGGTGGCTCCATCACAGCCGAAATTAGCCAACAGGGCTGGATTTGTCTCATCGTCTTATTAATTCGAGGGTACGAGCACTACACACATCACTGACATAGAGCAGTCATCTCAAACTCATGAGGACCGTATGCTCCACCTCTTTCCGTCCCTATACCTGGTGGTGGTGGAAGGATGGGATGCCGCTGGGACGAATCTCCTCATTGCGGCCCCAGCAAATCGTCGTTGGACAACAAATTCTGGTATGACAAAGTGCCAAAAACCTTATGGATACAGTTTGCGACTAGATTGATGGCAAGAGTAGCAGCAGTATCGTAAAAGTCTTCTATCTCTAAAGGAACATTCTATCAAGCTATCGATCTATCAACAGGAGACGGGGCATAATTGACCACTACGCCAACAAATTGTGCTCTGACCCTTGCAACCTTTTGTGCAATGTTGCTTTTGCGGTCTCTACCTGCTGATCTAAATCCTCATGCCATATCCAATAGAATCTTTCATCCAATGTTGCTTTGATCTTGCCCAAGTCTTCTCCGGTGCTCTCGCCGCGCATCATGCATATCTCACCATTCTCTCTGCTAGTGTTTACAACCTTCAGCGTCCGAGGCCGTCTAATCGCGTCGTACGCAGCAAAAGCTTCTTGAATATCCTCAGGCTTTTGGATAGTCTCATCTGCAAGGAGGTTGCACATAACGAGCGCGTCTTCGAAAGCCTGTCCACACCCAGCCCCTTGGTGTGGGGTCGAAGCGTGGGCAGCATCGCCGATGAGCGCGAATTTTCCTTTGTAGAAGGTGGAGCATTCGGGGTGGTCAAAGAGGGCCCACTTTAATGGCTTGTCCATCATCGAAACGACTTTCTGCATCACTGGGCCGCAGCCCGCGAAATCGCTCTTCGCTGCCTCTTGACTCGAGGGAACCACCCACTCGTCTTCCTCCCATTTCTCCAAAGATCGACAAGCCACCAGGTTGAGCAAAGTACCCTTTTCGACTGGGTATGTCGTGGTCAAGCAATCTGGTCCCATGTTCACCATGCTGTTTCTGGCGAACTCCTCGCCAAGAACGGCCACTGCCCTTTCCATTGGAACCATTCCTCGATAAGCAAACTCGCCGGCATATTTGGGGGTCGCCTCGGAGGAGTTCTCTCCCAGAAGAATCTGTCTGCACTTTGACTTGATCCCGTCGCCTCCCACCACGGCGTCCGCGTCCGCAGACTCCCCATCAGCGAAAGTCAAAGTATATCTACCACTGTCTCTTGTCGTAAGATCGATCAATCTCTTCCCCATGTGAAAGCTTCCTTCAGGCAAGAGAGAAACCAAGTCTTTCGCGAACAGTGTCCGGTGCACACTCTCCTGTCCCGTGTTGGCACAAATCACCGAAGTGACCAACTCTCCATCGGTCAAGCCATTTCGATAATCCATGTATGTCGTCTTCTTACTCTCCCATCCTTGTCCCGACGAGCGTTTCGCGAACGCCTCATAGATATCGGGACTAATCTTCCTCATGGCGTCCATTGAATTTTTCGCAAAAACCAGTCCTGCCCCCGCGTCTGTCCAGCTGCTCGCACCTTCATAGACTTGAGTTGAGATGCCACGCTGCGTCAAGCCTATTGCGAGAGAGAGGCCGCTAAGGCCTCCACCGACCACAGCAATGTTGAACTGCTTTCCAGGGCTGGCCGCCTTGGCGTCGTCCATATTCTCGGAATACTGTCGGATTCCCATTTTGCTGGTACGTTCCTCGATGTGCTTAGACCGAAGTTGTTCAAAAGGTGCTGACTATCTAGAAAAGAACTCAAATCTAAGGTACTAGTGCAGCTTACTGGTTGATGGTTTTGTGTTCTTCTCCTGCAGGGAATTTGTATCGATGACCCGCCCTTCTCGGACAATCTTGCTGTGGAGTCCATCGGTGAGTGGCTATCTTGTCGGCCTGAGCCTATGTTCACCGCTTTCGATAAACTCTCAGTGTCGGACTTTGTCATTGCTTTGCAGGGATTTTCGGGCTTCGCGCTCGGGTTCGGCACAGCGCGGGCCGAGCATGAGTAAACATGTCCCACACAATCAAACCTGGAGCAATCCAAGACCGCAGCCTTGCGAATTGTTAAGTCTTTGAAGATATGAGCGTGTATTTTGTAAGTTGGAGAGGATTGTGATTCATGCATCTTCAATAGAAAACGCAATGCCTCCAAACCCAGCAGCAGCGGGTGCGAATACTCCTATCGTGACTTATGTACTAGCCGTCTCGGTATCACGCGCTAAGAAGTATTCTAGGCTATAATTTCACGTCCACCCTGAGAAACGACACCTACCCAGCCATCGACCCTACCAAATTGAACCTGGGAGGGAAGTACGTCTTCTTAAGTGGCGCTTCGAAAGGCATAGGACATGCGGCCGCCATCTCTTTCGTCAAGGCTGGCGTGGCAGGGATCGCCATCGCAGCACGCTCAGACCTCTCGTCTCTTGAACGAGAAATGCATGAAGCCGCCACGGCGGCAGGCAAACCATCACCCCAGATCAAACCAATACGCCTCGACATCCTCGACGCTCAAAGCATAGAGCGTGCAGCCCAGGAAACATCCGACACCTTCGGCAAACTGGACATCCTGATCAACAACGCGGGAGCGATGGAAGAGTTCAAACCCACCCTCGACAGCGATCCCGAGCAGTGGTGGCAGACCTGGACCGTGAACATCCGCGGCACGTACTTGCTCACGCGGGCGCTGTTGCCCCTGATGCTCAAAGGCGGCGACAAGCAAATCATCATGCTCACCAGCATCGGGGCTTTCATGCCCGCCCCCGGCGGCTCGGGCTACCAGATCAGCAAACTCGCGCTCCTGCGCTACGCCGAGTATCTGAACGTCGAGTACGGCGCTCAGGGTGTGGTGGCGTATGGGATCCACCCTGGAGCCATCCCGACCGATATCGGCCTCACGATGCCGTCGTTCCTCCACCACAAGTTGATCGACAAGCCGGCGCTCGCGGCGGACACGATCGTCTTCCTGGTTTCGGAGAGGAGGGAGTGGTTGAGGGGGAGGTATGTTTCGTGCACGTGGGATATGCTGGAGTTGGGCGAGATGGAGGAGGAGATTGTGGGCGGGGATAAGCTGAAGATTAGGCTTGCTCTCTGAGTCTCCTTGATCTAGCTGGGTGATCCCTATAAAGATTTGGCATTTAGATCCTTTTCCTCGATGGCGATACTGTTGGGTCTGCCGGAGAGATGCTGTAGCGTCAATGTCAAAAATGTAAAGTTGCATAGTCCCCAAAACACACGGTCTTGGAATGGCACACTGCGGTCGGATACTGACTCATCCTCTCTTGAACTTTCATTGTGAGATTCATACCCGGGTTTCCGTGAGTACGTCTCATAACGCCAACCGTTTCGATCGGAGCGAAATGGAAGCTATCGGATACTCGATCTCATACTTTTGACTAACTCCAACTCAACATCCCACATTTCCACATTTCCTCAAACACGATAACCCAATAGCTCCACTTTCTCTGCACCCATGAGAGCCATACACAAAGCACCGGCGACCAGACTCCCGCCCCCACCTTCCTGGCCCTTTTCCGCCCCACTGATGTCCTCTCCGCGGCATCGCTGCCTGGCGTCTTTGTTTGTTTCGGTGGCCTTCCAAGCGGTGTTCGGCGACCGCGATGGGGTTTGCGCTGGGCTCGCTGGCACGGGCTTTGGCGCACTTGTTATTCACTCGGCGATGTTGCGGGGACGGGTGTCGAGATCATGGGCCCTACGTTGCCGCGCTGGTGGTTGTGGGTACGCTTGTGGAAGTCTGCGGTGGGTGCTGGGTTGGCGGTGGACGATGTATGTGGCCTCGGTCGAAAGCGATACCTTGGGTTTTCTTCTTTTGTAAGCGATCCCATATTGGGAACGATTTGATCAGGATAGAGTACGAATGCAAAACCAATACAATCCGTTTGTGTGGATCTAGCTACTGTTTCTGCTCGTGTCTTACGCTAAGTCTCCCCAGTCTGTGAGACTTGCTCAGGACAGTCGGTGCAGCCACTCAATGCTACTCGTGCGTCCACTCGCATCCTCCCCCCATCCGCAGCAAAGACAACGCAAACCATAACGCCCCTCACGGACCACCGACGTCCCTCCTTTCCACCCCACGGCAAAGGCAAGGCAAACTGTGCGCGGAGTCCGAGCTCTTGGTCGTCGCGCCGAGCGCAACCCTCGCCGATGAGAGCTTTAGGCGGCAAGGTCGGCGAATGCGAGGTCACAGTGCCAAGTAGTTGCTTTCGGGATCCACATACATACAATGCCCTCACGAGGAGGGTGAGACAAGCTTTCCACGAGAGTGGATCGGCGATCATTTTGGGGGCTGGGATGCAGATGTGAATGGCGGAGGGGAAAGACGCGGGGGAGTGTTGTCCTAAGTGAGCCTCGCGTACCTTATCCAAGGATGTCTTCTTCGCGACACGAAAGCTATGCCAAAATGTTGAACATGCGATGCTGAAAGGGATCCGGGGCCCCGCACATTAGCCTTATCACTCGCTTGCTGATCGAAGGCCTGAGGACAGCGGTTTTGCCCGGAAGGCCTTGCTTCGCCTGGAGGTGAGCCCGCGGGGCGCCGAATGTGACTCGCTATGAATTCAGATTTCGGATTTCGGAAGTCTTGCGATTTGAGGAAAATGTCGACTTGGCTCCGGATAATTACCCTGACTAATCGCCGGCTCCCAGTACTCATCACCACGGCATACATGCATGATAGTACATCTATGTCCTCGCTGTCGTTGGTCTCGGGTGAGTAGACCGAGCATCGTGCTATCACCAGCGCCGGGTGAGATATATGCTCCATTGCTCAATCTCAGTATTACATCATGTTCTCACGGGATTTCGATGTCTTTGTCACGGCTATGACCGCAGCGCGGCCTTATGTGAAGGAGTAGTCGTAATCCTGAGGCCGGTCTGCTTCGTCACTGTTGACTACTTCGCCAGTGGTGGGAGTAAACGAATGAGAGTGTCGGATGGCTAGGACAGCGAGTCTTTCTCTCTTGTCAGCTGACGGTAACTTTGTTAATGACAAGGTTATAATGAAGTATAAGGCCTCATGCGTGACGCAATCATACACCGGATTTTTTCGGCTACACTACTTAAGCGAGCCAATAAGTAGTCAGAAGGGTTGACTGTGGGAGGCTGACTGTACGGAGTCAAACCATCGCTCATGTCACGATGCAGTCCGAATGGCCGAGATAGCGAAACGCCGAAACAGCGGTAGGTGAACAAAGTGCGGAAAACCCGAGGGGAAAGAGGGATGGAAAAAGTGCGCGGCCACTGGCGAAGGGAGCGAGTTGCGGGTGCGGCTTATGGAGGCTAATCCCGAGGGGCGGAAAGGTTAGGGATCTTCGTAGGATGAGATGGTGAGTAGGATCAGGAGTTAGCATCGATGTACCCTCATCCCGCGCCACCGTATGCACGGTGTTGCGTATGGTCTAGTCTGTGCACGTATTTAAGACCAGCCTGCCTTAGCCTCACTCCATCACTCGGACTACCTAGAGGTACTGTTCTGCCTACAGAAAGACTGCCCTGACTTAGACTACCTCTTTCTCTCATCATCCCTCACCCGCTCACTCCAGCATCAAAATCAACATGGCGTCAGAGGTCATCATCGTGATAGGAGAGCCTCCTGAGGTACATGACCAAACCCTCATTTTTGCTTAGAAAAACCATCATTAGCAATCGTTTCAAGGCACCGGCCTCGTGGTCTGCGAATACCTCCTCCAAAAGCCACAGTCTGCGAGGCTCGTCGTCGTCGGCCGCGGCAAGCAACAGCTGGAAACATCAACGCCAACGACCTTACCGAATCCTCGCCAGGAAAACAACCTGTAGACCTAGCATTGTCAAAACGGGCAAATTGGAGGCTATGTGCTCCAACCCTGGTGCTTGGGACCGGTCTCGATAGGATTGCAAACCATAACCCACATGACTGCAAGAGCTGCTCCGAGACCAACCTTTTCAGCTCGATCGATTCCGTGAGTGTTGCTCTTCGCACATCTCTGGAGATCACCTTACCCGCAGCGTTGAGACCACAGTGGCGCTGCCATTTCTCAGCACCTTGAAAGGTAAATTCGTCCTCACGTCGTCTGATGCCGGTTCAAAGCACTTCACCAATGGGGCGCGTATGGATGCTCGAAAGCCGCCATAGATCATCTGGCCACGGAAGCATCCTTCGAGAGCCTGAGGCAACCACCGTATCTGTCAAGCCTGGAGTGGTCAATACGGAGATGCAGAAACAAGTAGCGATCCAAACATGCCGCCGCACAGGACCCCAAAGATGTGGAGCAGTCCACGAGCCTTCACGAGAAAGGTGCTTTGCTCCAGCCACATCAGCCAGAAAATGTTTTGGCGAGAATAGTCTTAGATTGTCCGAAAGGATCGAGTGAGCAAAGCTTGGCCAAGGACGATGATTCGTTGAAGGATTTTCAGGACTCAACAGGTGTAAAAGGCAACCAGTAGAGGTAATGTGTAATGTGGTATCTCACGACTTGTGCTATGAAGATGCAAGGAATGGGGAATGAATACTGCAATTTTACCAAGACTGCCATTAGGTGATAGAAATGTATATTACAGCATTCATCCGTCTTCCAGCCTTCTCCAAGAAAATGTTTCGCAACCCAGTCTCTCATACCTGCCGTTTGCACTAACATCCCCTCGGAAATTGTACTACAACAACTTTCGAGACGTTAGTCTGGCGGTCGTGCAGGAAAAGTTTCAGATTTGCTTGTAAGCTTCAAACCTCGCACCAGGAATGTTTCGGCGTAGAAGTGTTTTCGTCGAATCAAAGACTTTATCTGTGGCCCTTGGTCACAACCGGCGGACTCTCAACAACAAATCGGATAGTAGTAGCTAAATCCTCCCACATAGGCGAGGAGAAAGGGCCTACACCGTTCGGCGAACCCTTATGCTAGCTGCATTACAGTCACCGAGCAGAGAATAGGAGCGGTCCTTACCTAAGGCTAACGCACAATTTCGGCCTTCATGTCCGAAGGCCCCTCCGGCATTGTGTCTAACAATGCTATATCAATAAAACAAGCCAAAGACATGAACTTTCGTCTGTGATTTTCCTGTTTGCAACGCCTTCGTTGTCACCCAAACTAGTCTTCATGGGCTCTCTACCAATGGAAACCTCCCGTGTTGATCACCAAAACGACCTCCTCGTCATCACTTGCGCGAGCGGAAAGCAAGGTTCTGGCCTTGTCCCCAGGGTGGCCAAAGACTGGCGCCGCCTGCGTCTCGTCTGCCACTCCACCAAATCGGAGGAGTGGCTCAAGCGAGAATACCCCCGAGCAGAAGTCATCCGTACCGATCTAAGCTTACCGAAAGAGCCTGAGCGCATCCTCAAAGATGCAACAGTCATATACCACGTGGAACCACCGTTTGCCCATCGACAGAATGTGATGGGATTCAACATGATTGATGCCGCAAGAAAGGTAGCCAAAGAGGGCACATTCAAACATTTTGTGTACGCATCCGTTTTGAACCCGCAGTTGCGAAAAGTAAGCCTACACCGATTTCCAGCACCCCAAATTCCAAAGGACTTGCGTTGACGCTTAATGCAACAGATGATCCATCACGACCAAAGGCTCCAAGTGGAAGAATACCTCATGGAGTCCGAACTGAACTACACCATCCTCCAACCCACCCATTTCATGTTCCTCTTCCCCGTCGCACCCATGCTCGCACAAGAGAACCCCGTCTACAAGGCCAACTGGAACGCCAACATACCCTTCTCCTTCATCGCACTCAGCGACCTCGGCGAAGTGGGCGCCAAGGTGCTCAACGAGCGCGAAAAACACTACACGGCACAATACCCGCTCTGCGGCGACGGCCCGCTCAACTACCAGCGGATCTGCGACATGGTGAGCCAGGAGATTGGGAAGAAGATCGAGTTGAGGCAGTTGACATATGAGGAGTCTGTGCAGGCGTTTCTGATGCGGATTTTTGGAACGTTGGATGCCGACGCCGAGTCAGTTGATGCGGTGGAGCGTATATTGTTGTACTATAATCGCCATGGGCTTATAGGGTCGAGCAATGTTTGTGAGTGGTTGCTGGGTAGAAAACCGACTAATTGGCTTGACTGGATGAGGGCGGAGATTCAGCAGATTAAGCAGCAAGCTCACTAGAGAGGTTGGGGAGGGTAGCTATGAGTGAATGATGTGATGAGAGACGCATAATTTAACACCACGTTCTTCGGTATACCTTATGCCTTTTGAAACATTTCGAACTTGGAATATACAGGGATTGGACCAAAATGGGCAGACAATCGTCCAACCTAAGAAAGTGAAGAATGCTACCTCAACGAAAATTGTAACTCTTTAAGAGTCTGATATAGTACCCGATGCACAAGGGCTGAGAGCCTGAGCATTCATCATCATCATCACCATCACCAGGCGTGGCGATAATAGTAGCAGAAAAAGTGAATGAGTGGAGTAGAAATCCAGCCCTACCAGGACAACAATAGACTTTCTCCATGCGTGGGCTTAAAAGAGTTTGGCGCGCGTGACCCTGGCCCAGACCCGCGTCATTCTCAATGGCTGGAGGCTGGGTTACTTTAGTTGCTCATCGCTACATTTGCTCAACCTCTTCATCCACCACACATCTCACCATTTCACAGACCTCTACATACAAAGCACTACACTTCTCCCTCATCACCTTCGCCATCTTCACCCTCACTTCATCTCCGAAGCGTTGCAACGCCCTGCAGGTTTCAACACTCCATGGCCTATTCGCCCTCACCGCACATTGCAACTCTAGCAGTAGCTGGCAGCTCCTCTCGATTTCACCGTCACTCACCATCCCCACCTTTGCAACACCCTATTTCCAAGCGAGACAAGAAGCGAAACGTCATGGAGAACCGCCTCGCTGAAATAAGCAGCTCTTTCGCCGAGAATCGCGACCACCTCTACCGCAAGCAGCTACAGGCTTTACAAGCAGACATGAATTACATTCAAGCTGCACGTCTCTACGATAATCTGCCGTTGGACGAGATTGGAGACGAAGGACCGGAGGAAACCAATGCAAGTCCTGCTGCCAGCACAGCGGGTAGTCTTCGAAACGCCCATCAAGCCCATCTGAATGGCCATACGAGGCTCGAAGCCCCACAAAAGACTGGGCCACAGACTGCTGAGTTTATACAAGAGATCAACGATGCCATGGAACAGAGGGACGCAGATTTGACTACCGTCGTGGTATGCAATACATTGCCCCTGCCCCCTGCCCCCAGCCCCAGCTAGTCCTCTCATCACAGCACTTGTCGCAAGCGCCCAAACTGATACAAACACGTGGATAGTACCGCCACAATTTCCGAATCAGAGAAGTGCAGAAAGATAACATGTATAACGTGGAGGTCGCACTCAAAGAGCATCGCCTCTTGACCGAGAACGTGCGCCAACGTCTGATCCATAGCGTCAACCAGAAGAGATCGGCATTGCTCAAAGATAAGGAAAAGCTTGATATTGCTGATACCAATGCGCTTCTGTTCCATCCGAATCAGTTCAGCATCAACAACTCTGCAAGCCCTGGAGGCCCCCACAGCAATCGCAAGACTCGCCACGCTCGTCACCGCCTCGAGGCGGAGGAACTTGAGCCCGTTGGTGGAGCGAACAACAAGCGAAAGCGCAAAGCGATTATAGACATCGAGAATGGCTCTCCTGGACCCGTTGGACGTGACACCGAGCCAACCAATCCACTCAAGGAAGCTAACGCCAGACTTGAAGCTCACCAAGCCTCTACTCCACTCTACTCTGTCGACCGCCTTTTCTCTGCTCGAGAGTTGGATGTGAACCTCCAACAGGCTTGCTACGATGTCATCGCGGAGCAAAGCGCCAAGCGTCGTAGAATCAATGCCGACAGCCAGACTAACGGAGCTTCCACGGATCCCTTCGCTCACGCCCTAAGCGAATCAGACGATGGTTTTCCGCAGCCTGAGTATGGCGCAGATGGTGAAGCTGAAGATTTCCTAGCCGCAGCGGCGATGATGGAGCGCACTAACACTCAGACGTCGACTCAATACCACACTACGCGTTCTACCCGCAAAACCAACCTTAGCAACAGCCAATCCGCACGTGAGCAGCTCGGCGAACTTGCAGGTCGTGAAGCTGCAGTTCCTTACATTGGGACCTATTCGAAAGAGAAGAAGCGTGAGGAAGAATATCAGCGTGCGCCGCCTTTGAGTGAGCTGGATGCGGAGTCAGACATGGCTTTGTACGAAGCAGCCATGAAGGATGATGACGCCACTAGGGGAGCGAATGAGAAGCTGCTGGACGAGGTGGTCGAAGAGCTGGAGGATCACGTCGGTACGCCAATCGAGGAGAAGATAAACTCTTTCTGCCGGGCCGATCTTGAGGTGGAGGCTGCGTGACTGTGGTTGGAGGATACCGGCCACGAAATGATCCATGGATGCATTTACGATACATGTCAGCAAACGGGTTCTCTAGAAAACGAATATTGCAGCATTATCGCCCTGCGGTTATCGGCAGAGCGTCGGTTTGAGACTGTCAAGGGTCTCATCGCATGGGGTTTCGTGGTCAAATGTCTAAAGCCATTCGCAGCGTCAATTGCGGAGTTCTAGGGAGGAAGGCGTTTTATCGCTATGATACCCATCATGTCCTTTTCCATGTGATGTCTTACTCCATCATGATGTCTGTAGCTTGCAGATATCAAAGAACAACTATCACAAGATTGATTAACCCAGAGTCATTTGGACGTCATGCCATAAAATACCATTGCATTGTAGCACAAGACGTAAATTCATCCCTCCCCCACTCCGATCATCCTTTCGGCTCATACAAGCACTCCCTTGCCCCCCTCCACACCTCCTCCACAATCGCTCTGCCTGGCAGTAGATTCTGCATCACGACCGATCGTCAGCTTCCGGTTTTCCCCAACCAACCCAACTGTATATACACTTTCCCAATGTCCCACTTCCACCATAAGCAGCCACTCACCGGAAACACAACCACAACCTCCCCCTCCCCCTCCACCACCACCGCAAGGTAATATCTCACTTCGAAGCCCCTGAACGCCTCATGTATAAAGATGTCCCGGATCTGTGACGTCGGTATGAATCGCGTATCGCTGGGTAAGAGGTAGGAGGAGGAGAGGGTGCTCGTTTGGATGCCGAGGGTGCGGAGCGTCAGGAGGGACTCTTCTGCGTTGTCGCAAACGAACGATTAGCGGAGAGTGAGTCAGTAAGGAGACCGCCCAGATCCCAACCGAAGGGCAACGGAGCGCCGAGGCTTGCGAGGAAGGGAGCGCGGTCGGAATGGCATACCCGTGTGGAATCTCCGAAACACGAGGAACAGACTCGTGAACGCCAGTGGCCCGACTTGCACCCAGGGAAACCGAGCCAGGTGTTCCGAGAGCGGGGCGAGCGGGGGGGACGGCGGGTTGGATGTTTTGGCGTAGAGGACCAGGAGTGTTGCGAGCCCGAGCAGGATCCGCTGGAGGAGGAGGAAGTAGTGGAGGAATTGGGATGGGAAGGTCTGGCGCGGAGAGGCGGTGGAGACGGTGTAGGAGACTGTGGAGGGGGAGGGGCGGAGGGTGGTTAGGTGGGGAGGTGTGGTTAGCATGGGTGACGGTTGGGATCACATCGTTGGTGATGGAGCTGTGGGAGCCCTGGCGGCAGCTCAGAGGCTCTTGCTTGCGGAGACGAAATAATGCGGGTTTTTGATAGGGCTGAAATCAGGAACAGGTCTAGCGCCGGCGATACATTTCTGCGTCCACGTTGAGAGAGTAAGATAGTTTCGTTACCACCGATCAGCACTTCTGTTCTCAAACAACCATGCCACCTTCGCGATCGCGCTCCCGCTCGCCATCCCCATATTCCCGCAGAATGGCCCTCTCCAACCACCGCCAGGACCGCCCAAGGAGCCGCTCCCCGCCCCGAAAGCCCGCCTACTCGCCCTCTCCTCCCCGCAGAGATCGGCCGCGAAGCAGATCTCCCAGACGAAGACATGATGATAGACCTAGACCATCGGGCGGTGGGATCAGGTGGAAGGAGAAACCGCGGTATGACGATGATGAGAGGGATGGGCGGGGGGAGAGGAGGTTGGAGAGAGGGTATAGGGAGCAAGAAAGGGAGAGGCCGCGGCCGAGGTCGCCTGATCGGAGGGATGGTAGGGGGAGGGAGAGGGATGGTGATGTCGAGAGGAAGTTTGGGAAGGGGAGGGATGTCGAGGATAAATTTGGGGGGAGGCATGATGGGGCAGAGAAGTCTGGGAGTAGAGATGTAGACAAGCCCCCGGAAAAACCGAAGAAGGAAAAGAAACCCGCGCCTGCGCCATCAGGGGAGCCCATGATCATCGTCAACGTCAACGACCGCCTGGGGACGAAAGCGAGCATTCCCTGCATGGCGAGTGATCCGATAAGTATGTCCCATCCACCCGTGTTACATACGTCCCCCAGTCAGTTCCGATGGTATGGGTACCTGGGCAGAAGCTGATTTGGTGGCATGTACAGGGCTGTTCAAAGCAGTAGTCGCAGCCCAAATTGGCAGACAGCCGCATGAGATTATGCTGAAGAGGCAGGGAGAGAGGCCGTTCAAGGATCAGCTTACGCTGGAGGATTATGGGGTTAGTAACGGGGTGCAGCTGGATCTGTATGTTCACACCTGCCCTTTGGGGTTGACTCGAGGATGGGAGCTAACGGTGTTTATAGGGAGGTTGATACGGGTGACTGAAGAAACCATGGTAGGGATTTTGCTATTCAGCCTTTGGGTCATGGGCGTTGGGGTTGTGGCATGCAAAGGGATGAATGATACCTTAGGCGAGGGCGTGAGAATGTCGGAAGAAGCTTTGACAGAATGGATGACTAGTACAATGGATGGATATGGAACGTCTATTCTCCCTGGCTCCGATATCGACAGGTGTTGTTACATTATATGAAAACCAATAAGTCTACTAAATCTGACGCAGCCATTGACCGCTAGGAAACGCTCAAGAATCTCAACGACTGCCCTCCACCATAGGACGAATCTCCCACAGCTTGCCCTCTGACCCACTCACTCATCATACCTTACTCCACCAGGATACCTCTGAGCAGCCGCAATCGATCCGCTCCATTTCCCTTCACTCATCAAAGAACTCATGCACAGACGCTCTTCGCAATCCATCACATTCATAGTGCGTCGTGGGCGTGCTGGAGGCAACAATGACGCAGTAGTCGCAGCCTATGGCTGCGCAGAAGGCGTGGCCTTCGGAGCTGCCACCGGGGCAGGCGATCATGCCGCAGTGTAGATCCGAGCGAAGGGCTTGCGGAAGCGTGGTAGCTAGAGAGGTGGGTGCCGCAGGAAGAACGATTGTAAGTGCCGACGTTGTGGAGAGAGTAAGAAGCATGGAGGCGTAGAGATGATGCATTGCTGCTTGGGAGGTGATGGAGAGAGGGCTTGTTGGCGGCGAGTTTATTGTTGCAAGCGTTACTAATGGGGGAGTTGGTCTCGAAAAAGGGGCTGGATGTTTTCAGAAATTATTTGATGAAAAGCAGAGGACGCCCGGGATTGTTGATAAAGGTGCCAGAGTGCACGTCCCCCCTTCTCCTCCGCCTGTCCCCTTGTCGGGCCCTCTACGTACCTATACGATCTCAGTATGATGGCTTGTTGCAGCGGAAGAAGTATCAAGAGACAAAAGTGTTGAATGCGAATGAGGGAATCAGACCAGTGCATTACGAGCGCTAAGTTTCCCTCGTAGTCATTTTCCACAAGAGGAAATGTGAGCGAGCGAGAAAAAAGGGATAGTCAGTGAACAGCGAATTAGCCATGGTTTTAGTCTGAGATGACGGTCTTTGGTACTGACGATTGGTATATCTTGAGCGTGATGTGCGTGAAAGGAGATCAAAGCGACATGTTGAACCCGAGATGCAAGATGCGATGTTGGGGCTTTTGCGCACGGTCCCAATCGACATTGTTCGCCTCGGCGGATGTTCCTCCGCACAGACAATCTCCAATGGAAAGGGCCCCAAGCCTGCTCGCAACCTGGGTGCAGCTACGACGCCTGCACATTTCGTGCAAGTATCTGACCGGCAACTCCAAGTAAAAGAGGGCAGATTGCAGCTCAACGATGACAATGCAGTGATGGGCAGGAATGTACCCACAAGAAACAAGAGACAGAATCAATAATGACCCAGTCTCGCTCTATAAGCTTGAAAGCGAGCGGAGACATCTTCGCCGTTCCAAAGATCCGTACCATCTCCTGACGAGCTAAGCTTAGGTACGCCAACCTGCTCCACCACAAAGCTCGCGGCGACATTGCCGGCACAGGCGGCAAAGATAACATCTTCAGAACACATAAGAAGAGTGATTGTTAGAGCTCCTAGGAAGGCATTGCCAGCTCCTGTAGTGTCAACCACTTTGGAAACGCGGGTGATGGCTTCGGTGTTGTCTTGAGGAGCATAATAGGCAGGCAACCATTTTTGCTCGCTGTAGCTTTTGACGAAGCAACCCTGGTCTCCTGCCCTTACTACCAGGGCAGTTTGCGGAGTGGATCCGTCATCTTGAGGATGGAAGAAGGGAGCACAAAGATCCTCGAAGAATTTTTCGTCGGGTAGCGGCGGTACCTTCTTGTTCACGATGCGAGCAAGCTCAATGTGATTCGGCGAGAAGACGTTCACTATCCGCATAGCTTCAACAAATGCTTGCAGGTTCTCCGGCACACATGAGTAAGCTTTTGGCTCCCAGACGACAGTTGGTCGAGGGGTAATACTAGCTGCTTTGCGTAGCTCCTGTAATTGAGTGGTTTGCTCAATGACTTGAGTAGGGTCGACAAAGAGATGAAAGTCACGGGACGTCAATAGACGTGTATTACGCAGATGTTCAGGCTGAATGGTTAAGGTTGGAGTGATGTATTTGAAGACCTTGGCTGAACGATTAACCTGTTGTCAGATCCCCGACGCTCTAGCCTCGTAGATGTGGAAGCATTACTTGCGAAGGTTGAGTCCAGGTATTTGAGCTGGCCTCTAGTAGATGGACATTTATCCTCTTGGATGACTGACAATGTCATACCCCATGTCTCTAGCTGCCTTAGCGTTTCCGCCGGGAAGTCGTGACCTTTGCGAATGGTCCAGCCGACTTGAGTGGATAGATTCTTGGGACAGAAAAGGCGGGCTCCGAGACTAGCTGTACTCGTTACCATCTTCCTCATATCCCAAGTCTGAGCATTTACCAAAACACCCCGAACCACCAATAACATTCTCAACTACCTTTCCGCAAGGCAAATGGACTTCGTCCAGGATGAGCATGCCAAGGGATGTGAAAGCGATAAGGTCTTCCACATTCGCCATTGCATAGCTTTATCAGACAGCTTGTCCTACCTTGGTAGAAAGATAATTCTCAAATCCCACTTGTGATAAAAGTGAGTATCAAAAGCAAAGGTGGCTGGTATTACCCTACAAAGACTTAGCAGTATGGCGCTAATTGCCCCGCGGCGACGGCGCGCCAAGGGCGGCGGAACAATTTCTAAACTTTTTTTATGACGAGCTTTCAGCTTTCCCGGCTTGTGTGATTGAAATCAACCTCTTCCACAATGAACGCTTCCACTTCTGTCTCCCTGCTTCCTGCATACACTGGCAGACCATCTTTTGTGGGCAGCATGCTTCTCTAACAGACAAATCATCCACAGCGGCATTCACTTACCGTGGAATCCACACCGCAAGCCTCTCTCGTCGAGCCTCCTTTCACTCTTCAGTCCGTTCGCAGAAGATTCCATTTCCGTACCTTGGTTGTTCAAGGTCATTCTTCTCCTTCATCAATTCATAGACGCTTCGATACCACATCCCAACTCATCTGAGACAAGATGGTCCGCAACCTCGTCGTACTGGGGGGCAGCTCCCACCCGTCGCTCACAGAAACCATTTGTGACCACCTTGGCCTTCCGCCTGGCAACGGTAAGCCGATTCAAGGCGTTTTCACGGTCATGGGAAGGCGCTGAAATACCGCTAGTACTTCTCAGCAAATTCAGCGTTGGCGAAACTAGAGTCGAGATCAAGGAGAGTGTTAGGGTACGCAATACCCATGAAATCCTTCATCGATCCTGCACGCTGAGTATCGAGATAATTATCGATATCAAAAGGCCGCTTTCGCATCTAAGATGACTTTTAATCTATGTTTTGGCCATGAAGTAGCACTGCTGACTGTCAGATATCTCTAGGGCAAAGACGTTTATATAGTATGTCCACAACGATTTGAATATCTCCTGCATTGAGCTCGACTCTAGTTGCAAGATGCGTTTCGGAAACAAATTCCTTCTCCCTCCATACATCTTTCTTATAGCTCACCTTTTCGCTTTGAAGAAGCAGTGTTGACTCCGACCCTACTTAGATCCAATCAGGATCAGAGTTCGTACATCTCGGAGTGATCCTTTCCCAAATGGAACCCGGACTCGAGTCGCAAGACATGTTGCGGGAGCAGAATGGAGTTTTTGCTTCCGGAACCTACTTTATAACTCTGATTCTTGGCTTGGAGAAGCAATGCTGACTTCGAATTGTGCGTAGCAAGGTGAATGACAACCTCATGGTAATTATTCTCGGAATCTATGTTCTGTTTCAACCCAGGTTCTATATGCTCTGTTTCTTGAACATGCAACACTAATTCCGAGGCTTTTTGCAGGAGTTGCTCATAACCTTATCAGCTTGCAAAACTGCATCCGCGCGAAAGGTTACTGCAGTTCTGCCGGTCAGTATCCTCTTGAAGTTGTGTGGCTGGTTTTAGTGCTGATAGCTGTACAGCTCTTTCCTTATTCGAGACAAAGCGGTACCTATCCTTATCCTACCTCGTCTCACATCTGCATCTAAGTGACCCGCAGACATCCCGTACTCAAAGAGCGGCGCGCCATTGTCAAAGGCGTCGAATTGTTACAACAAGCCGAACTTTGCCTACTCGTGAGTAATCATTCCATTGATCTGATCGGTACGATCGGATCGTAGGATTCCCTGAGACCTTTTATGCTCCTTAGCCTTAAGTCCAGGCTAAGCAATTGCCTCGAAAAGTCATGCTGATCAATTCCTTGAAGGTTTGAAAGCACACCATCAACGCCCCATCCAGACCTACTCCCGACAGCGGGATTGGACGGTGTAGACGGGTTGAATAAGGATCTGAATAAGTGGCAGCTGGACAACGCTCGTTCTGCCAACCATCATCCTAAGCGTAGCAACACGATGGACTCGACAAAATCTGATATCTCTACCCGTCTCAACATATCGACTGATGATGCAAGCCAATCTTCAAACTCCTCGAAGGAAACTTTTCATGCACGGCCGGGCTATACGGCTTGGGTCTCACAGGCAGTAAGTTTGGAGCCCACATTTCCACCTCTGAGCAAAAATATGAGTCAACAGACATGTCGGCTGGAAGCTGAACGCTCCTTGAATGTATCTCAACACTCGAAATCCTTATCGGAACAGACAATGCTGACTCTCAAAACTTTATCCAGGGGTAAGAACAAAGTTCTAGATCATCATGGTGTTCTAACTAAACATATGCAAGGACTTTGGTTGCTGATCTGCTCACGTGTGCCGGCGCCGATCATGTCATCGTAAGTTTACTTTGTGGAGTGTTTCATCCAAATCACATACCATATCTTGAGCCGTAAGACATGTTTTGAGAGGATTTGCAGTCCTCTGACTTTTTCTGTTCTTCGGAATTCAACGTAATAAAGAAATGCTGACTTCCAAATCCTGAAGACCATGGATCTTCACGACCCTCAGTATCAAGGTTTTTTCGTAGGTCACACAAAGGAAAGTTCAGATGCATTCGCTGACTACTGCTATCAGGACATACCAGTGGACAATTTGTACGACTCCGCTAGATGAACGTTCGGTCAGATGCTGACGGCTTAGCAGGTATGGACGGCCAATCTTGAAACGCTATATCCAGACGAGCATCCCAAATTGTAAGTATTTTGACAGCAATCCTTACAAGGCTTGGACGCAATTCGGTCCGAATAATGTGCTCTCCGAGTCATGCGCATCTCTGTATCTTTGCTAGTGCTATACACTCGGCTTGCCATTTGCGAAGGCAGGTGCTGATTCCAGCCCGTGTCTAGACCAACAGGCCGTCGTCGTCAGCCCTGATGCTGGAGGTGCCAAGAGAGCCACTGCCATTGCCGATAGTTTGGGAATGCCTTTCGCTTTAATCCACAAGGTATAAATACTTGAATTACAGCGAAGTGAGGGCTGATCCAAGTCTACAGGAACGACGACCCACCAAAATCACGTAAGTATCTTTTTAAAGTCATGTTTCGTAGAAGGGTTGCTCATCTCTTCTACATTCTCCAAGCTTGCCTTTCCAAGCCCCTTAAATGCTACGAGTGCAATGCTGATTATGAAAATTTTAGAGACCGCCAGAACGCGACCATGATGCTTGTTGGAGACGTTGCGAATCGTACAGCAATCCTCATCGATGATCTAGCAGACACATCAAATACTATCACGAGGGCTGCTAAGCTTTTGAAGAAAGAAGGCGCCAAGAAGGTCTATGCCTTGATCACGCATGGAGTGTACGCGAAACACTCGCCGTTCCTCCACACGACCTAGCTGACACATGACACAGGCTGAGCGGAGATGCCATCGAGAGAATCAACGCATCTGCCTTGGACAGAGTCATTGTGACCAACAGCGTACCCCAGGAGGAGCATGAGAAGCTATGCCCAAAGCTAGAGGTGCTCGATGTGGGCCATGTATTCGCAGAGGTACCGTATCTAGTCGTGACGCTATGGCCGGAATTAACGAACATCCAGGCAATCCGGAGAGTTCACCATGGGGAGAGCATCAGCGTGCTCTTCCAATATGATTGAGAAGTCTACTCCTCAGTCCTAAATCTACTCCAGGCGGTTAAAAGTTGGAAATTGCGATTTGAAAAAGGAGGTTGGAAATCAGTCTGTCTGTGCATTCACGAGTCATGCTTGACCAAGTGCTGGAGAGAGCACAAATGACTAGATAGGTTCCAGGGTGGTCTTCTCTCAGTACTAGAACGGATGAATGTTTCCTTTCTTCCCCTCCTTTCCCCACCAACATTCCGCAACGTTGGTGCCCAGCGATATTGCTAAAGCCGAACTGCGACGGAGTGGGCACGCATGCTATGCTCAGCAGAGTCGAATCACATCTTGATCTACGCTGCGTTGTACCATTTCCCTTTACTATCAATGTTCAAGTCCTGCTTTCAAATCTTCCCTATCATCAGCCGTATCCTCTGCATTCTTCTGATCGGTAATGGGCTTCTCTCGCGAATCATCTGCCCGCAATTTTGCCACATCCCCGCGAAATCCGCGGCTAAAAGCCGAGCCCTGATGACGTGCTGAGGGGGTGACAAATGGCCCAATTGCATTACTCAACATCTCAATTGTCGAGTGATCACGAATTCTCTTGACAAAGATTGTCGGATATGGGCTATATAAGTCTGCTCACCATCGTGTTTCAACCGACATTCTTTCTCTCACAGATCATACCTAACCAATTAGCATAAAGCATAATCACAACGCTCGCAACAAAGAAAGTCACAATATTCTTAAGCATCACTTGATCACTATTGCTTCAACTTAATCCCATCCGCAAACTCACCATGGCAACCACCACTCAAACCGTCGCCGCGCCCCCACAAATCCAGGTCTCCCACGACTCTGCCTACGTCCCTCGAGGTTCTGTTACCACCAAGCTCCAGTTCTACAAAGCCCCAGCCGACGGCTCAACACCTTTCAATTACGTCGAATCGCCCCCAGAAGGCCAGCCCCAGCGCAACTTTGGGGACGCTGATCTTCGAGTCACCATCCACGATATCCGGGGTCAAGAATCCAGCTTCAACATCGACACCAATGCGTTCGGTACCTTGACCACATCTCCCTCAGCCGAGGAATCATTTACGGACGACGCCTCTATCAAAGAGAACTACTACCCCGAAGTGGAAGCTCTCCTCCTCAAACACGTTCCCGGCGCCAAGCGCATTCTCCTTTTCGACCATACCATCCGCCGCGCCACAGGCAACCGAAACCCAGTCACCCGCGTGCACATCGACCAGACCACCAAGTCCGCCACTGCGCGCGTGCACCACCATCTACCCGATGAAGCCGAAGAGCTGCTCAAAGGCCGCGTGAGGATTATCAATGTATGGCGCCCTTTGAATGGGCCTGTGCAAGCTACACCACTTGCTTTTGCCGACTCGACGACAGTGAAGGATGAAGACTTGATTGGTATTGAGCACCGATACCCAGATCGCACGGGAGAGACGGCGGCAGTGCAACATGGGGACGAGAAGTGGCACTATTGGTCTGGCATGGAGAACAATGAGCGGTTGTTGCTGGAGTGCTACGACAGTGAGAAGGGCGGACGAGTGCCCCACACCGCGTTTGTGGACCCGAGGAGCCCCCAAGGTGGAAAGGAGAGGGAGAGCATTGAGGTTAGGGCACTGGTATTTGGGTGAACTGGAAGACGACAACCTTTGTTGTTTGAGAAGATTGGTAGCGAATAACGAGAAAAGGAATGCATTGGAGATGCGGGTATGATTTGCTGCATTTAGGGCTGGTGAGGCATTCGTGGGGCATATTAGCGTTTACTTACGCAATCATATGTATTAGTTATTCATATTAAACTCGAACCCATTTAAGCAGAAGCTCTTCCAACCAGATCAACGTCTGAAATAGCACATGATTTGTTGGTCTTTATGCTAAGTAAGTAATGTATGCAATTGTGCGACATGACAAAGTTGCATGTTGGATGATGGCATTCCTGTAATGGAGATCGGGACCGATCCCTGAGCGGATCTCCCGTCTCAAGCTTTTAGCGTGGAAATTAGTGAATTCCGCCAGCATCCGATGCTGGATTTGTAAGATATCGTAGGTGCTTCCGTATATTCAAGCAAGGGTAACGGAGTCAGCGTCAGCGAGATGACTCTTTCGCCTTGACCTACTTTACATTTGACCTCCCACTGTCTTTATCATTCCCCCTCTCTTCCATTTCCCTTTCCCTTTCCCTTTCCCTTTTTCCTTGTTTTCTCCATCTGTCCCTTCGATACCGGTGGCATCTCCCGCGACTAAAAGTATCGTTTCTCTTGACTCCGGAAGTCGGTCAGCGAACTCACCTCTTCCTATGGTTTTCCTCCGAATCATACACCGTTTCCCCCCATTCCTCACCTCCGTTTGCCCTCATTTCCCGCGCGTTGAGGTGTGTAGCCGGCCTTCAGGCGTCATAGGCACATTTTCAGTTGGGTAAGCTTCCAAGAAAATACAGCCGCTCCGTTCGTACCCACACTGACACCGCACGAATACTACAGCGGATACCTCTCTACACAAAAATGGATCAAACATCCCGTCCTATGATTCTATACAATGAATTCGATACGATTGCCGAACCGGGCCGAAGACCTCAGCCCATGTTCATGCGGCGGGCCAAGACGCGTCGAAGCAAGACGGCAGTCATTTTATCACTCGTCTGCGTTCTGCTCATGGTCTGGGGCTGGAAGAGCTCCGGTATAAGCATAGTGAGCGTTTCTGTCCGCGAGTCCGAGAGCTCTTACTGACAGCCATAGATACCTACGACATCTCGTTTCACCAGCACAAGTCTGGCTCACGCGCCTGAACCGGTGTTCTCGCCCGAGCTAGCAGGAGATACCGAAGCACCTTTGCTGGCACCACCAGTCAACACGACAGCTGTCGGCCTGAAGAAAACCAATCCTGCCTTCCACCTCATCATACCAGCATCAGAATCCAACCCAGAGCTCTGCAAGACGTTACTATCCTCATTCATACTCAGCTACCCAGCACCTACACTGATCAACTACGGCAAGGTTTTCGAAGGGGTAGGATGGGATAAGGGATCTCATGCTGGCAAGATCCGTGGGCTATATGATTTTCTCAACAATAAGAAAGAGGTCAAGGATGACGATCTGGTGTTGATCATTGATGGCTATGACGTCTGGTTTCAGCTACCGCCCGAAGTCGTGATCAAGAGATACCATGCTATGGTTCTGGAGACGAACGAGCGTCTGCGAAGGCGATATGGCGTGGTAACGGAAGGACATCCGGGCGATGGGACAGCGGACAGGGTGCAAAAATATAGGCAATCAGTCATCTTTGGCGCTGACAAGATCTGCTGGCCGAACCCAGTCGAAGACCCAGCCTGCGCTGCAGTACCATACTCAATCTTGCCTAAGGATGTGTATGGCCCACTAACAGACAGGGACCCGGACGCCTTCCACAACCGCCCCCGGTACCTCAATTCCGGCACCGTCATCGGCCCCGTTGCAGACGTCCGCGCGATCTACAAATACGCCGTGCAAAAAGTGGAGCAGAAAGGTCGGGGCAAGATAGGCGACCAGTTCGTCTTCGCCGAAATCTTCGGCGAGCAGGAATTCCAACGTGAAACCATCCGCCGTACTTCCCAAAGTACTGGCGGCCGCTTCTACGATTGGCTCTCCAATACCCTCGGTACTTCGGAGTCGCCCCTGTCAGCTAACGTGACCATTAACAACATGACAACGGTCGCAGGCCAGCGCTATGAGTACAGTATCGGTCTGGACTATGAATCCCGCCTCTTTCAAACCATGACCCACAGCGCGGAAGATCTCGAATTCATAGTCTACAACTCTTCCGCTTTCCTCTCCTCCATCCAAGCGGCCCACCCCTCCCTGCACGGCCTTCCATTCTTCCTGCCCACCGACATCCAGCAGCTGAAGCCGCCCTTTTCCTTCGCCAGTCCAGGAGACCAAGCGACCAACCTCCAAGAGTCCAAGAACTCCCTGCTCCTTCCCTACTCCTCGAATCTAGACAACCTACCCGGCCAATCCGGAGAAGCAGACGACCTGGACAGCGAAGAAGGCCAAGCACCGACATGGCGCACCACCCCCCTCGCCACCAACATCTACGCCGCCTCCATCCCGCCCCTCCTCCACATCAACGGCGACAAATCCCTGCTCGAAGCCTGGTGGCCCAAACTCTGGCACCACCCTTATTCCCGCGCCTTGCTCCGCGCATTCATCCGCAGCACCCAGGGCAAGACGGCGGCGGCGGCGGCGGCCAGGGGAGGACAGACGTGGTGGGATAGCAGAGGCGGGAGAGGCGGCGTCTGGACTGATCGGGGGGAGTGGCTGGCTTGGGGCGAAGTGTGCCAGGGGTGCGAGGAGGATGTCTTCAATGACGGGAAGGGGGTCTGGGGCAAGGAGGAAGGGGATACGAAGGTGGTGAATTCGTTCGGCAAGGTTATTATCGGGGAGGATGAGGGGTGAGGGGGTCGGCTAGGCTATGGTGGTGGAAGGGGGATGAGTACGGCGTCGATGGAGGAGAACTGGTGTTTGGCGAAACAGGGATACGTTGCTTCTTTAGCGGGATATACCCATATGGAGCTTGCCGATACGGCTGGTGTTTGATGCATGTGAGCCAAAGATCATGAGTTAAGATGAGAAAGCTCGACTACCCAATGACCTTCCACTCTTATCATTTCACCGCAGTCTGACAGCTTGATGGATCTCATACCATATATTGGATTCTTTTATGTCCTCTACTATTTATACATCTTCGATATGAGGTAGAGTAGCAGTGTCTTGTATCGCTTTTGATGTCAATTCCATCGGCCCAACGCCTGCGCTGCTCATGCCATTATCGCGCCCATGCTAACGCTCATGATGCAAGAAATACAGGGAAACATGTCTTTGGCTCATAGAGACATGCTTGGAAAATGTGGACAAGAACCGAAGAAAGGACCGAAGAATGATGACTGTTAGACAGCTCACAGATCTCACAGCCAGAAGAGGAACCCCAACATTACCCCAACCAATCCTACGCCCATACCTGCGACCTCGTTACCGGTATGCATCGCGGCTGCGTCACCCTTCTTCGCAGTTGAGGAGGGTTTGGCGTTGCCTGTGGCTGATCCACCAAGGCCGCCGGTTGATGTAGCTGCCAGATCAATAGTCTGACCGACGCTGGGAAGGGACTGTGTGGGGTCGACAATCCATCCATTCACAGTAGACGATGGGCAAGCTATGGGCGTGAGGCTGGACGCCGAGGCTGAGTAGGCTGAAAGTGCCACACCGGTGGGATGTAGGGTAGCCCAATGGCCCTTCAAATTGCTGTAGTCAGGGCTCACCGGCATCGGCGTACCGGTACGAATGTAGCCGTCCAATGCGGCCGTGTTGGTCATGTCATTGACCTTGGGCCCGTATGAAATGAGACCGTAGTCATTCGTTTCCTCAATCCACTCGTAGACAATGGCTCCCGAGAAAACGTCCTCCATGTCTTTGCCGAGAATTGAGTCCATATCGTCGAATGTTCGGGGTTTGGGAATCCGACATCCAGTCTCTGAGATGAAGATGGGGATCTGAAGGCCGGTTGCGTTTTGGACGAGCTCGTTGTAGCCACTGCCGTCAAAGGAGGATTGACCGCACCATTCGTAGACGTTTAGAGAAAAGAAGTCGGCCGAGTCTGCTGGATCTGAACCGCATGCAAGGTAGTTCTGAAGCATGGGCCGGAGGCTTGGGATATCAGCTACAAGGCGCCGTCAGTCTGAGTAGTATGTAGTTGCGAGAGCTCTTGAATGTATTTCATGTTCTAGGAATGCCGCAGCCACTGTTATATGCTTTGAAAGAGGCCCAAATACATACCTCCAGAGTAGCCAATAGGTATATCACGGTAGTTCTTTGACTGTCTGTAAGCCTTGACGTCTCGGATGGCAGCTTTGACGAAAGGAGCGGTGTCGGAGCCATTGACTAATAGCCAGGTCAGCACGATACTTGCTGAAAGTGGAAGATTACTGACGCAAGGTCAAAGCCTCATTAGCGACGAAGACCCCAGCTAGATTGTCATACTGCTGGAACTCGTCTAAGACATCTTCAAAGGCGGAGAGTTGAGTCTGGTTCCAGGCTGGTAATGCCTGAATAGATGAGAGATTAGCATCATCCTAGAGTCTATGGTGTTGTCCTCGACTTGCCTGGTTGAATTGGGAATCAAAGGTGTCCAGATCGAGCCAGAGGTATATGCCGTAGGAGGCAAAAGCACTCATGCATGCATCATGGTCGGCAGTCGAGTCTACGTGATAGACACGTATACTATTGGCCCCCAGGTCTGCCATCGAGGCAGCGTCGAGCATACACTGAGTCACGTTGGTGAGAGGGTCGAGGGAGGTAAGCTGGTAGGCAACGCCTGTTCACGTTGTCAGAGATACACATCAATTGACGGATCAGAAGCTTGCCTTTGATGTAATATTGTGTTCCATTGGAGAAGAAGAATTTGGCTCCGACGGCAGAAATGGTAGGCATATCTGCAGCCGAAACAATGTTGACGGCTGCTAATAAAGCGAGCGAGAGAGCTTTGGTGAACATGATGACGGTGGAGGTCTCAGACCGTGAGGGATGCTCGAATGGATATGCTGAGGAGCTGATCCTTGGGTTCGAATGGGTAGGCGGAATGGATGAAGCAAAGACCAGGTCTTTGATGTTGACTGCGGATAGAAGATCAACAGCCGCTTGGTAAACACAGATCAATTGGCGACGATAGAACGAGCGAAATGTCAGCAGCCAATTGACCTAGAAAGTGAACGAATGTATTTTGCACAAAGGCAACTTGTTTATTACAATGAAGAGAAAGAAGAAAGAGAAAGAAGAAAATGGGAGATAGTATTATGATCGATCTGATCTGAAGGAGGACAGCAGTTCGGGGGAAGCTGCAGCCGAGGTTTCAGAGCTATCTCCACAACGCTTTGACATTGCAGGTTAGCTCCCGCTGATAACGATTGCGCGGCCTCGAGGTCATCGTTCTTGCCCTGCCCCGACTATCACCGAGAATAATGGGCTTAGACTACTTTAATAATGAACCAGTGAATGACTTTCTTTCTTCGAATACATATTAGCTATTATCAAGTATCTACAAAATTCCGAACTGCCTCCCAGTCATCATCATTACTGCGTGGCAATTGGATTCTTCGCCAACATGGCAGCCGCGTGCTGATACGCCAATACCTCATAGTCACTGCCCGCCGTGCTGTTGTAGTAGATGGCATAATCGTCATAGGGGTCAATAGACAGAGTCGTCGCAAATTGCCAAAAGGAGTCATAGGCAACACTGGTATTCAAGAGAGTCGTTTGCTGCCAAGGTTCGCAGATTGCCGAGTGATTGGTAATGTTAGTCGAGCCGTACTCTTCGAAGACGACTGGCTTGCCCGCTACTTTGCCTGCGGCGTTATGTTGCATGATCCACTCGTTACCCCAGGTGTCATTGTAGCCCCACGAATCGGGATAGAGGTGGAAAGTGCCGTAGTCGAGGGTGGAGATGGCGAGGTTTTTGACGAAGTCAATGCCCTCGTACCCGGAGTACGCATACGAGCCATCGCCCACTGGAGGGGTCATCCATCCCTCATCGCCAAGAGCCACCATGTGCTGCGAATCTAACGATTTGATATACGCGCTGATGTCTGATGCCCAGTTGCTGATGACTGAGGTCGAGCAGCCGGAACAGCGCGGCTCGTTGCAGAGTTCCCATGCGAATATTGCGGCAGAGCTCTTGTAGCGGTTAACGATCAAGTTGATATACTTCTTGTAGACGGCCTGAGACTTGGCGTCAGTATACCATGAAGTACCATTCCCTCCAAACGCGGACGTATAGGCCGGGATGCCCCCTAGGGCGCCCCAGTTGTTCGCGAGCGGTAAGACCAGCTTCACGCCTTTAGCTTCCGCCGTTGAGACTACGTAGTCAAGTCTTGGGATACCTTTCAGACCGTCAATGGTGCTCTGATAAGTCCGGCTGCTCAGACCTACCAGTGTTGGAGTCGAAGTTGAAGTACTGGCCACTCGAATTCAAAACCTGATAGTACACGCTAGATGCAGTGGCAGCATTGTTGGTCTCGCTAAAACCCCAGACACGGGCGACTTTTAATTGAGACTGTTTGCAATTAGATGGGTTGGTAAGAATGAGGCTTAAAAGCCGACATACCAAGGCGAGATCGGCAAAGACGTTGAAGACATCAGTGTTGTTCTGCAGCTGACCAAGCCACCACGCATTCGTGCCTGCAAACAAGGGTTAATTTCCTTTCATTTTGCTTCACCACATGGAAGATTATACCAGCGAAATACTGGGTCTTTGATTGAATCTGGAACATCCTGCCCTCTACGGTAGCAAAAGGCCCTCCACCGGCGCCGATTGGGACTGTTGGGGTGGGATACGTCGCACTTGATGACAAGGTCGATGAGGCTTTGGTGGTAGACACGGTTACAATTGATGAGCTCTTTGATGTGACAATAGACGACTTTGATGTAATCGTTGAAATCTTCGCCGAAGTGGACAACGTCTTTGATTTTGCCGTGGTAGTCTTCGTCGTGGATGAGATGAGTTTCGGAGCGCCATTGGCAGCTGGAGCACCATTGACCATCAGTAGTTGAAGAAGCATACAGAAGCCAGACATGGCAATGGAAGTGAAGAGATGCATGGCTGTAGAGGGTGTCTGTGATGGAAAGGGTCCAATTCGATGGGGTCTTTGCCTGTTCTTATGAACGATCATGGCTCATACTTGAAGAAAAGTTGTGTTGTGCTAGGCTGCCTACAAAGTTGAGGCTCGTAGAACAAGCCGCGAAGATCTATACTGGACCGAAATCAATTTTTGAGAAGAGGCTTGTTGGACAGCTGATACATTATGCAGCATTTCAACGGCAAACACCAGGTGGGGAAAGGGTGGCTTGTGGGGAAGATCGACGACATGCCTTGGGCTCTACGAAAAAGGAAGGTCTAGAGGTTGGTTCCTCGCTGGGAACGCAGGGGTCAGGTAGGGCCGGCAGAATGAGGTTGTCCAACCGATGTTTCCTGCAAACGAAAGGGATGGCTGCCATTAAGAGGCATTTTTTCCTGTGTGCCGACGTCGGGCTGATGGCCACAACGCCGTTGGCCAGAAAGCGAAGGGATGCTGGGAATAAGTTGGAAAGACGCGGGGAACACTCATCAAAACCCGGAGAATATTCCAACAAATGCAATTTCTATGTATAGCCGCGCAAATCATTCACGGTGCCGCCGTGAGACCGCCTTGACGGCTTGCTGATCACAATGAATTGAATTTTTTGACCGATCCGGCATGTCAGCTTTTGTCAGAAAACTTGGCGGGTCTGATGCCTCCGGTTTTGGCTGCTTCTTTCCATTTTGGATGGAAGAATCTGTGCTGCCAATTAGACCTCTTCATTCTAGCATTTTGGCCATGGGACAAGCCCCCAATAGTAGCGAAATCGAGACTTAACGGTCCAGAAATTGAGGGAAAGCATTAGGCAGCGTTACGATGAATTGACGAAGAAGGTGAGCAAAGCCGTACGTACCCCAGTTTCTAAAGCGATTAGAAGGGAAGTTGAATTCCCTACTTGACTTCCCAGTCTCACAATTGAACGACCGCCTCAATCAAGGAAAATTGTGGGCCCACGGTTTCTGCTGGCACGTATTTCTGCCTCGTCTACTCCTCTGCTTCTCAGAATGCCTTACCCCCCAGTGCCAGGTCGTTTCGATCCGCAATGAAGTGCTGCTGTGCATCTTGTGGCCTTACCAAACTGCTCTCGTGCACAGCCTCTGTAGATATATTGTTTGGAAATAGTGGAGCGGATCCGCACGACCTGAGCAGCTTTGCAGCCATCCGCGTGAACACTGGGAAGAGGCGAAACAATGAGGCAGATTCAAGAGTGACCCCCGAGGCCTCTCGTATCCTACGGTTTGACCATGTGCGAGCTTTGGGTGTGGGGCGAAATGTTTCAGACAGATGGATTCCTGAAGCAAGTCAGCCAGAGACGCCCGATTTGAGTTGTAAAATTCGGAACAAAGGCGAAAAGGGAGTGATAAATGGTGGGTTACACATCCTAACACCGTAGCTCGGAAAAGGGGTAAACATGAATGGATGGCACGCCGCACAGACATGACAACGGTGATGGCGAAACGCACGAACACGGGAAATAATCATCGCTAGGGCTCGAATTTAGGCCTCGAAATGGCCTTCGCGCGCGATTAAAACCCGCCCCCAACGAACCCTAACCTCCTTATTCATCAACCTCTCTCCAAAGTCATCAGTCAATCCTGCACCTTGTTCATGTAGACGGCAGAGACGTACCTGGCTCTGTCAACTTCAATGTGACACCAGGAACCTGCCAAACGTCCAGCGTTCTAACAGCTCTGTTCCAAGATCGGCCCCCAAGACTTTCGGGGGCATCCTTTTTGCTATGGATGTCCCGTCCCCTCGGTCGTTTCACTTTGCGCCGAAGACGTGCAGCAGGCCAAAACACCCCTCCGTCGTCACCGTCATTGCCTGAGGCAAAGCTGGTCATGCGAAGCCTAAGGAATGCTTGTTGGCCCCTCCCTGTGCGGCGGATGACTAGGTCGAAACAAGCAGACCCCAAACGACCGATATCTGCCTGTGAAGTACAATCATGGTGGGAGCTCTCTCTTACGAGTATATGAAGGGCAGTAATCTCTCCTCTGTTTCTGCTCGTTCCATCCAGTATCGTCTACATCTTCGCCTTCCCGCCGCTTCCGAATCATCAGTGCAATTCATTGATTCATATATCCTTTTCTACCGAATCATCAGTCAGGCTTTCCCCAAGATGAAAGCCTACATCTTGTGCCTTCTCGCTCTGGCGGCTGTCTCTTCTGCGCGCCCCAAGCCTTCAGAGGGTGGAGGGCCAGGGCCAGGGCCAGGGCCAGGGCAAGGGCAAAGGCAGGGATACCACCCATCAAAGTGGCAGAACCAAGAGTACTATCAGAAAGCCAAACACACACCTTCAGTCAATGGTGGAAATCATGGAGGAGGAGGCCACGCGGGAAGCCCAGCAACCACAGCTTTCCCAACCTTGGGCTCTGTAATCGGTGGCTACGGTGGAGCCGGCACTGCTGGTTATGCTGGTGCTGGCACTGGTGGATATCAACCACCTGCACCCACGAGCTCGGCTGTGAGGAAAACCTCATATCAGGACAGCTCAGAGTATTCTGAGGAGTCCGAAAAAACGTCTGGTGAATCCAATTCTGGGAACAGCGGCAGCCAATCCCTTGGATCAGGCCCGTCAGGGGTAGCAGGCTCCGGTCCCGTCTCGACTGGCATTAGCACCACCGGCAACTTGACGACTGGGGGAACCATATCCAATGGCAAGATCACACTGCCTGCTAATTGCCAAAGTGTGAATGGTATCGGCTTCGGATGGCTACCGGACTATAACGGCGCAAGTTTGGCAGTCGATGAAAGTGCAGTGGGAAACAACAACCCTTGCTTTGCTGGATACTACGGCCAGACCGGTCTATCAGTATGGAATAATGGAGCTCAAGTTAGTTTGGCAGCTCGAATTCGATCTGTATGGACTGACCGGTAGAGCAGATTACAGACAACATCGCCGATGCTACCAAAGGCGGAAAACCCTATCCAATTTTCGTTGCTTCTGTTATGCCACAGGGGACTCCTTTTGATCAATTCACGGAAGGCTCGGCTGTTGTTACTTCTATTGCAAATGCTATGACGAAGTTAACAGCAGCTGGTCTCACAGTCTTTCTTCGATTCGCCCACGAGATGAACTATTACGACTCCGCCGACGCTGGATATGTTTACACGGGCTCCGCCGAGGACTTTTCGAATGCATGGGGTGTCGTCTCCGCTGCAGTGAAAGATGTCCCCGGGGTGTACATGTATTGGTCTCCCAATTACGACAGCAGTGCCACGGATCTGGTAAGCTCAGGCTGGTACCCAAATCAAGGTACTGTCGATATTGTTGGTATGGACATCTATCCTTCTGGTGGAAGCCAGTTTGCCGCCATCTACCAGAACTTTTGCCAGAACTGGCCCAAAATACCCTTCATTATTGGAGAGACAGGGTCTGCTAAAGGGGGATCCGCGAGCGACAAGCACGCGTGGCTTCAACAGCTCACCGGTAAGGCAGCTTTACAGGCATGCCCGAACTACCTTGGCTTCTCTTGGTTTGAGTACCTCAAGGGTGGCGTTGATTTCAGGATTGCAACGGGCGGAAACAACGCATGGCAGGGGGTCCTGTAGAGGCTAGATAACCATACTGCTGTACATTTTGTCCTGCCTTCAGACGGCTTTTAGTATGCCGCCTTATCTTTTCAACAACAATATTGACACCACCTCCACGCCAGTCATCTGACTTCAATGTGAGAGCAAGTTGCTTATGGCTTTCGACGTCGCTTTATGCGATCCGGGAGCGGATATAAAGTCTACAACTACAACTACTGTGTTTTTTTTTTTTTTTTATCAAGAAGGCGTTACGAGACTTGGTAGCCAGTAGATTTTGCTCGTCTAAATGAGGATTCGGTGGCGTTTGTGGGGCAGCCAATCAGGTTTGCTGACGGCCCTGTCGAGTTGCCTTGGCACTCTATCGATAACGCGCTTAGACTCGGCGCTGCATGCAAGCTTGCCTGGCTTCGAACCACTACAGTCCAGCTACCGTCTGTTGTTACGGCGAGAGAGTTGAGGCGTACGACTGAAAGAATAGACAGTATAAGGCAAATGTCTGCTGTCTACAAGAATCCTAGGTAACTCATCAGCCCTTATTCTCGAGCCTCTGCCTTGCTGGGACATGCTCTCTGCTCGTCCACGTAGCGAGCCTATACCATTCCAGTCCCTATGGTCTCCCAACCTCAACCCTCCGATCGCCCACTCGTCCACCGGCCCGCCTCCGTCTCTTCTCGAAGCACCAACACGCGCCGCCACCGCACTACGCGCTCGCATACGGGAGGCGTCTCATACAGGCCACAGAATGAGTTCCCAAATTTCGCGCAGACAGGAGATGTCGAGATAATCATTAATGCCGATGGTCAAGAAAAACGGTATATGCTACATCGACTGATATTGGCGCAATGCTCTGGGTTTTTCGAGACAGGGACGAGCGAGGAGTGGTCAAAAGCGCAGGCGCGTGGGCAGACCCCTGGTCAACGGCCCAGCAACTCGCTGGGAAGGATCCGTGAAGACGACGTACCTGGGAGGTCTTCATATTCAGGAGGAGGTCGTCTGCAATGGAGGTACGAGCTGGACTGGGGAAACAAAGACGACGAAGTGCCTATGCTGGTCCAGAAGCAACCTCAATCTACACTTTTCGGCGGCGACGCCAACCAGCCCCCACCTGTACCACACAAACCTCCGCCTCCAGCGTACGGATTCCTCCGCTCCATGTCCAACTTCTCCGCCATGCAATCTGCCTCCCATATTTCAAAAGCCAACCCCCACACCCCAGACAGCGACATCGTGCGCGATTACGACAACCTCTTCCGCATCTTCTACAACTACGCACCCGCTCTCGACGCGGTCAATATTGCGGAATCATACATACAATGCAAGTCCCTTCTCACCCTTGCGGACATGTACGACGCTTTAGAAGTCGTGGGTCCGCGCATAGATCACCACTTGCTACAATTTCAAGGCCGGCTATGGAAACAGATTGCCAAGTATCCACCTAGCTACCTCAAACTCGGATACCTGGCGCGCTCAAAAGTCATCTTCGCAGAAGCGCTCGTGCATGTGGTGGGCCAGTGGCCTTCGGGATCCAGCCAGCTCAAACATACGGTGCCGCCGGATGTGCTTGAGGTGATAGAAGACAAAGTCGACGACTTGCAGGAAAGGAAGATGAAAACCGAAGCCCGGCTTTTCCGCCTCACGTTGACAACGCCCAAAGGAGAACGCGTGACGCCTTCGAATGCTTATATGGACTGGCTTGCTCTGTCGCTTTTTCGACAATGGCTTGCTGAAAATACTACGCCGCCTCCACCACCTATACCCAAGACACCGGAAGCGCAACAACGAGCAGCGTATTCTCAGCCACCGCCGCTCAGCTCCGGGAACTTATTCCGCTTGCTCGGTACGGGTGGGTCTGGCTATCTTGCTCGGGACGAGATGAAGCGGTTTGTGAGGTTACGACCTGATGATCATCAAAGAGATACCCTGAAGAAATTTGAGAAAAAGATGGACGAGATCAAAGCGATGGCGCGGGAGATCGTAAGGCCCTTGATGAGAAATTGTCTAGAGTTGGATATGGGAAGGGATGGAGGTGGCTTGGGATATCTGACGTGCACCAGAGTTGACGAAGACGATTTCCCATTCTGAATGACCAACCGATAGTATTGCGTTATCTGGCGGGAGTTTGGGCGTTTGTGTTGGATATACCCGAAGTTCAAGGCATTTGTCATCGAGTTTGAGTCATCATTGTTATTCCCTAGTCTTGACATAATAACAGTCGTACCCATGCATACCCATCCTCTCACCACACCCCAACATCCTGCCAAAAACCCCGCCTCAAGCACCCGGTCCGAATGCTCACAGTCGCGGCTCGGAAAGAGGGCCACAAGAAGTGACACTTGATGACACTCACGCCGCCATCGGACAGAACAGCGCTACTCCCAAGAATTCTAGCCACGAGTCCCACTAAGCTGATGCATCCATAGCGACCCTTTCACGCAACCACCCGCCTTGGAAACGCACATGGATCCTTTATCGAAGGGGACAAATCACCAAACAACGCCACTCTCCAAGCCAAAGCCCTAGCCTCTCGTGGGCCTTTCAACCCTCCACGACATACATACCTCCCGCCCCCGCCCCCGCCCCCGCGCCGGACCCGTTCCTCGTCTTCGCATGGCTCGGGTCTACTGGGCTCTTTGTCTGACGTGCTCCCGTTGGGGAAAGGTGTGGATCGGGAAGAGGTTAGATTCGGCGGATCTTCCGCTCATGGGACGCTTTCTTTGCTTTCGCCGGTTGCTCGCGCACGTCCGTGTCTTGGTCCTGTCGGCTCCCGCGGTAGGGGTGGTAGGGGCCAAATGGCACTTCTTTCCGGAACGGAGCTTCTGTGGTCTCCCCGTCTGCCCCATTGGGTTAGGGGGGGGTTTTTCCACCCTTGATTGCAGGCTGTCACTAGACCAAGCTTCACTGCCGCAAGACGCGCCTATCTCTACTCTACTCCACTTATCAGACCCCACCGCGCGAATCCGTCGAGTCGAGTTCCACCCTTCCGGCCATTATCTTGCATCGGCCTGTTATAACGCCCCGACGCGAATCTAGAATATATGCTGCAACAACGGAGCTGCTACTCCACCAAGGTCATTCATGGGACTCTAATCGCCCGCGGTGGACTTGATACCATCGGCAGGATATGAGACCTGCACAATGAGACTGGGGATCAGAGGGTCTCATGGTATAGCCGCATGTATATGTTGTGTCCAGTGTGAGAGACTTGCATTTATAGGGAGTAGCATATATACTCGCCCTGTATCAGCAAGTGAATCTTTGTTTATATCGCTTGCAGAGCCATAGCATTCTTTGGTTCGCCCTCCCACACCTGTGTGCTATCATTCACGTAAGGTCTATATCGTTAAGTGCAAGGATTTTCTTAGCGCCGAGACACGAGAGTATACCTCTTTAGACCTCTCTTCACGTCTGTTTAGACCTACCATATTCAGTCTGTTCCCGGCGTTGAAACGGCCCAATCGCATATACACAAACGGTGCTGTGCCCATAATCGCTACGTGGTCATTGTTCGAGTATGAGAACACTAACAGGACAGTCATCCCGAGCCGCCGAGCCCCTTGCCACCGGAAAGCATCCGCATTAAGAGTTGCCTTCGCACATCCATATGTATCGTCGGAGGTCTCGCCGGAGGATACAAACACGAATCTAATCGAAGACACGAGTCGAAGTACGATCACTCATCGTATCCCAAGTGAGGTCTTGTTCGTGCTTGGGGTAACGCTCACCGAGCTCAGCTTTGGGCGGAATGTATACGACATGCTAATACCGGAAGACGCCGATGCAACCGAGGTCGCAACCAACTTCAACACTGCCAGCCCGTCTTATCGAGTACGTATATAGTGAGGGTGGTAGCAGATGTGGCGACGTCGTTCGGAGGTGCTTGAAGTGCCTCCCGATGTTCGGGATGCCAGCCTTGACAATGAAGAATTCCAAAAGCTGTCTTCGATTCCATCGTTAGACCGCTCGGACAGGACTTTGAAGACTTCAATGGCGGTTCCCGGATTAGATACTACTATGGGAGAAACGCCGCTGCCAGCACTGCTCCGAAGGAGTAGCTGCCCCGGTTACGTCGCGCACAACTGAGACATTCGATCACACCATCTTACTAGGTATCATAAGGACCAAACCCCAGTATCTTTAACAAACGTCCTCTAACTACCTTTGGTGCTATTCGCAGGCTTTTGCTTTCTTGAACAAGTGTGATCGTGATGGATATTGAGTGGAGAGAGTATATGCCGCTACAGCAAGCTTGAGACGCGTTATCCATGTTGTATTGATACACAAGATATTCCCACCCCACCTTTCAGTTTCCACCACAGCCACCCCCCCACCCCCCCCTCCTCCCAAACACCCTTTCTCGCTCCTCTGCCTAAACCCCTCGATCCCCATCCCTCTCAATACCCTCCACAATTTTCTCCACCTCCACAGCAATCTCACCCGCGAACGCCCTCACCGTCCCCTCATCCATCAGCTCTCCATCACACCGGATCCCAAAATCGATACAATCATCCTCGACCCTCCTCGCCACATCTAGGTACAAGTTCTTCTCGGCAAGATACTCCACTTCCAAACCATCCACCGCAGTCTTACCATGCTTCATCGTCTCCGCCGGTACAGCATCCATCGGGACATGTGGCAGCTGACATGGGACGAAGAGAGGGTCGGAACTTGTTGTCGGTCTTGTTGACGATGACGAGGCTGACAGAGGACCCCGCGCGCCCTCATGCGAGAGGATATTCACAAACGTGTTGAAAAGCGGCCCACCCCCGCAACCCACCCAACCCAGTATTTCGCGCAGATAGCTCTGCTCGAATTCCACCCTCTCCGCCAGATCAACCTGCAACCGCTGCGCACTCTCCAGCGCCGGCCGGTCCAACGCATCCGGTATCACCACCGGCGTGACGTTCAGACATGGAGCGCACAGCTCATCGATGTCTTTGAACGGAGTGGAGCGGCCCGCCTGGTAGAGGCCGAAAGTCGGACTGGCGACTGAGGTGTGGCGGGCCAGGGCGCGGGCGAAGGCGAGGAGGATGAGTGTGGGGAGGGAAGTGGCGGAGTGGCGGCATGTGGTTTCTAGGGATCGGAGGTTTGGGAGAGCGGGGTTGATGGAGACGAAGATTGCGGTGGAAGCGGTAGATGTGGGGACGGGGGTGTCGGGTTGGGTGGTTGATGGCTGGAGGAGGGTTGGTTGGCATTCTTTCAGGCTTTTGCGCCAGTAGAGTTGTTCCGGTTCGGTGTGGAGAGAGTGCGTGGTGTGGTGGATGAATGAGTCGAAGCGTGGCGGGGACGGTAGATGGACGCCTTGGTATAGTGCGATGAGGTCGTCAACGATTTTCTGAACTGTCCAAGCGTCGTAGGTTGCATGATGGAGTTTCAACACCACAAAGTCTTGAGTATCCCCGCGTACGAGGCGTAGCTTCGAAGGAGGACTGAAGAAGTCGAACGGCTGTTTTGTTTCTTGAGTGATCTGGTCAGCGACTCGGTCTTCGGTATCACCTGGAGCTTCTATGCACTTGAAGGAGTCGTGATTGAGTGCTGAAGGTTTGAGTACCACTTGGACGGTCTCTTTGGGCGAGAGAGCAACAAATGTAGTCCGCAACACCGAATGACGCTCCCTCAGCCCTCTCCAAGCGGACCTCAGATCATTCACATTCAGCCGTCTGGGACACTGATATGTCCATACCGCCTCACACATCGTCCGACGCGATTTCAGCCAACTGGCAAGGTGATATGATTGACCGGCTAGACACGGTAGCACATCCTCGATATCCTCATCTTTGAGACTTGCCAGGACTAGAGCCTTTGATCTTGCTTCCGTATTGATCAATGGACTTTGCTTCTCCGCGTGGCGGGTTTGCTCCGGATTCCTTCCCCGAAGCCGTCTACAGATGCCGCTCAAACTGCGTCCTTGAAGTACATCTGCAACACTTACCACATGACCCTGCTTCCGGCAGCTCGCAGCCACCCGGATTGCGGAGATGGAGTCCAGACCTAGGGAAAATATGCTGGCATTTACTGGAATGTTCTCTGGGGAAATCCCGGATACTTCCGATAGCACTGTCCGAATGGATTCCAAATCCGGTCCTGGCTCAATGTCATCTTTTGGAGATGCGCGCTTCTTGTCGTTCCCAATCGCAAGTGGGAGACTCTGTAGCGAGCCTGGGAAAGCCATTACACTCCGCTGAGGACGCTCAATAATGTCTTGAAAGATCTGCTCAAAGTCTGTAAGCCAGGCCTGGAGCTGCTCTCGTGTTGTCAGCCCCTTGCGCGACGACAATCTCAAGACGGTCTCTTCTCCCCCTTGCTCGAATTCAAAGTTCGTCGAGTATTCGGTGGGGGCGACAGCTTCACCCATATCGAGAGAGGTCCACAATCTATCTGTGGATGATGCCCTGTTAACGGTGTTCTGGAAGACGAACAGAGTGTCAAAAAGCTGTGCGTTAGCATCTCCAACCTTCTGCCGCCATGCCTGCTGAATCCTACCCAACGACGCATACTGGTGTGGTCGTGAGTTTCCCGAGGACTGTTGAATGTCAATGGCCGCAGCTTTGTTCGTGACATAGGTCTTGTCAAAGACGATGCGGGATGGGACCGTGTTGAAGAGCGGTCCGACGACTTCGTCTGCGCCTGGCATTGCAAGCGATCGACCTCCGACCACATGACCAAAGACGACATCTCGGCGTCCTGAGACGCAAGCGAGGCTCTTTCCATAGGCCAAGAGTGCGACCGTCTGGATGGTCACCCCAAGATCTTTGCAGCCCTGAAGTATACTCTCGATGTTCATTAGGAAAGTAGTATCCATTTCTATCATGGCCGTCTCTGTGGCTTTCTGCGACGGGGAAACCTCACTGTTTGTAAACCCGTCGAGTTGTCGTAACCAAAAGTTTTCGGCCTCCGTCTTACTCTTCGAGATAGCTCTCGCTGCATCGCTGAAAGGTGCTCTTAGGGGCAAATCGATGTCTTCATACAGCCTTGCCAGGTCTTGGAACAGGAGGTTGATTGACTCGCCGTCGTAGAGACTGTGATGCATCGACATCACGAGCACAGTTTCCGTTGCCGTCTTCAAAATAGTTGCCTTCCAAGGCGGCTGCTCAAAGTCCGCTTCTTCATGGAATACAGAATGCTCCATGATATCGGTCAGCGAATCAGATATTGAAGTTATGATATCGCGCTCTGTCCAAGAGTCTGGCCTCTCTTGGTGCACTGCTGCCAGCCACGTGTTAACCGCGTTGGAAAAGTGGAAGGTGGTTCGAAGTATCTCTGTCTTCACGATGAGATATTCCCATGCTTGTTTTAGTCTGGAGAGATCGATATGGCGGGCTAGTCGGACAGCATGGTAGTGAAAATAAAGCTTCCCATCTGATCCCAGGGTTTGAGTAAGCATGGAGGACTGCAGTGGAGTACAAGCATAGACGTCTGTTATAGTGTCTGCGGGGCTCCAAATTGGGAGCTGAGGGATAAAGTGATTGAGGTCGTCTTCCTGTGGCGCCTCTGAGAGCTTTTCGATGCTTCTCGTGTGATGTGGAAGACTGTCAATTTTTTGGGCTAGCGCCGCTATACATGAATGGCGCATCACATCCGCTGAAGAGCACTGCATTTCCGAGTGTCTTAGGCGTTGCGCAAACCGAATTGCAGTGATAGAGTCGATCCCTAGACTGAAAAATGATGCTCCCTTTGAGATGTCTTTCGCACTGGTACCACAGATCTCAGCCGCAAGCTCTCGCACCTTCAGCTCTCTCGGCGTCCAGTGTGACTGGTCCCAAACTTGCGGCTTAGATCTATAGTCTACAGCATCACTTTTGGAGAGGCCTAGATCTTCAGTAGTGACAATTTCTCGTCGAACTAACGCTCCCAGAAGAAGATCGATATTCTCTAGTAAAGACGCTGCTCTGTCCAAGTCGCCAAATGCAGGAGAGAAAGCACAGTGAGCACGCATTCGACCGGCTCCATAGTCAGCCTCAAATTCAATAGAGAGCGGGAAGTCTTTGGGGATGGAGCCCTCGAGCTCAGTCCAAAGACGTGGATAAGTGCTAGGCTTTGAATCCAATTTCTGTATACAGGAGACTAGACAGTCGAACAAGGGTTTCTCTGCTCCGAGCCAGCGATGGATATGTCTCAGAGCTGTGTGTTGAAACTCGAGAGAGGCTACAAAACCTTGTTGGGCATCTTTCACGATGTCTACAATAGAGGAACAATTGGAATGGAAATTGACGCGTTGAGGAATGGTTGTTATGCAGGGCGCAACGATAGTATGAGGATTCTCTATCGGCACAGTGCGCCCGGAAAGTACGGCGCCAAATACTACATCGTGGGTTTCCAGCACTTGAGCCAAGATGATGCCAAAGACTGCCTGGATAGTTGATGTCAGTGTTCCACTTATAGAAGAAGAGAAGTCCTCCAACTCAGCAAGCGGACTAGCAAGAGTCCTGTCCACCGTCGGGAAGAAATTGTTATTCGGGGTTTTTTTTGTGGTATCAGCTCGATCCACAATCGAAGTCGGCCTACAATGTGCTAGATAATCTTTCCAGAAGACTTCGGACGCCTCCTGATCCTGGGAAAATACGTGTTCAATCATCGAATCAAAAGGGGTATGAGCCGGAGGAATGGCTGAGTGATATCGCATGATGAGCTCTTGAAGTACCATGGTGATGGATTCTCTATCATATAGTGCATGATGTATTGAAACCAACAGTATCGAACTTCCGTCGTCAGAAGGTGGCCGAAACAGGGTCAGTCTCAATGGGGCTTTGCTCGCAATGTCAGAGATAATTTCTGTGCCAGATTTACTTTGCTGAAGCTGGGAAGCCGACTCGGGATCTGAGGTAACAGTCTCTTCCCAGGACACTGATCGGGACTCAACATATTCAAAAATGACTTGAACAATTCCATTTTCGAATTCCTGGAAGCAGGTCCTGAGTATGTCGTGGTCGGCCACTACCCTCGCCCAAGCTCTATAAAGATGAGCGCGATCGAAATCATTAGATAGCCTCAATGCCATGTGATTCACATAGAGCGGATCACTATTGTCGTTGAGAGAAGTCGCCACAAGGGTCTCTTGTAAAGGCAAGCAAGGCTTTACTGCCTGAATGGACGAGTCGTCTAGGCCATGGGAGTGAGTCCCACGAAACCTGGACTCGAGATCTCCTAGTCTTGACCGTGTCTGTGTAAGTTGGTCTGCTGGTGCCTCTTTGTCTTGGTCTTTTTGAGGTAGAAGAGCCAGCTGTTCAAGAAAGGGGTTTATCAGGACGCTGGAAACTGTGCAGTCGTATCCTAGCTTCTGCAGTTTGACGGCCAGAGTGATGGCGCTTAGACTATCAAGTCCTAGCCGGAAGATGTTGGTATTTCTTGAGATTTCGGCCGCATCAACAGCTAGGGTGTTCATGACTGCGCTTCGCACACTTCTCTCAGCTTCAGTCAATTCTTGGCGGGTTGAATCCGGTTGATCAGGCTGTTCTGAGGAGGTGTCGTGTATCAAGTCCGCAATTGGTATGTCTGCGAAAAGAATTTTGAGGCGCTTCAAATCTGCTTTTCCGGATGACGGGGCCAGGGGTAGTTTTGTGAGGGGAATGACCACATCAGGAACCATGTAAGCGGGAAGGACTTTTCGGCAACCGGCTTGAATCTCGCTTGCGATAGCATAGTCGTGGGCAGAGCTAAGGGTCTCTGAAACTTCTAGGGTTTTATTTGAATGTGGGTTGGGAACGACGAAGCTTACAAGTTGTGATTTTGAGAGCTTGGGATGCTGAGCAACCATAGTTGCCACGTCGATGTTATTCAACCCCAGCGTCGTTACGGCTGTCGATCGAACAGCCTCGGTAATCTCACCTAGTTCGAGTCGTTGACCTCTGACTTTGGTTTGATCATCCTCTCGGCGCAGGTATTCCAGTGTGTCGTCTGCCATCAAGCGCACTACGTCACCTGTGCGATACATTCTTTCACCGTTGAAATCATTTACAAATCCTTTCGCATCGGGACGATTATGGTAGCCATTTGCGACTAAGTCTCCTGTAAAGCAGAGCTCTCCTGCAACGCCACGCAGGGTGTACCTATTGGATCCAGGTACCAGTACATGAGCAACGGAGTTCCCGTAAGGTCGACCGACGTTCCTCGAACTCGATTCTCCAGTGACTTCTGCAGCGGTGCATCCTATTGACATTTCAGTTGGACCATACGCATTTATCAAAGATGCGTTCTCATTGGAGGCCCATGAATCGATAACACGTTTCGACATCTTCTCGCCTCCGACACCCAGATAATGAAGGTCAGGGAGATTCGCGGGATCTAAGCCAGCTTGATCGATCAATGATGGCACAAAGCTAGCATGAGTAATCTCCAGCTTCCGAAGCGCTAGCTCAAGATTATCGAGCAGCATCGTCCTAGGAGCAGTCACTGCAGCCAGACCTTGTCGCCAGGCCAGGAACATCTCAGCAATGTGAACGTCAAAAGCTCTGCTTGCAAGTCCGAGGTATTTGCCTTTACCCGGAAGCTCTTTCATTCCAGGAATAAGTGGACAAATGAACTCGGAAAGTCCTTCGATGAACGAGCAAAGGTTGCCCCGGCCAACAAGCACACCCTTCGGTACTCCAGTTGATCCAGAGGTGTAAAGCAAATAAGCGTTGTCGCTAGCTTGTGGATGCGAGGAGGTTTCAACCGAACGACCACTGACTATTTGCTCCACATATGTACTACAGTCCACGTAGACCACGCGGCTTTCGGCTGGAGTGCTTGGAAACGTAAGCGCAAGAGACCTGGTGGTGAAGAGCATGGCAGCTGTACTGTCCTGCAGTAAGAATGATTTGCGCTTCCCGGGCAAATCTTCGTCGATGGGTAAGTAGGTATTGCCAGACGCCATAATCCCAAGAATTACCGCATAAGCCTCAATACGGCGATCCAGACACACTGCTATCATCTGATTAGTATAACCACTGTGACTAATGAAAGCTGAAACTCGATTGTATGCGTAGCGTAATTCTGCAAAACTCCAGCTTTCAGATTCGCACTCCTTGTTGTCAAGAGAGGTGACCACTTGAGCTGCGGGCCAGTGTGGATGTACTGCAGCGTAATGATCCACCCAATCCGTGGGATTTTGTTTCCAAGCAAGTTTCACCTTTTCGCTGAAGGAGACCGAGGTCACAGAGACCAGCTCTTTTGGAAAATATAATGAAAGTTGCGTAAGTGGCATGTCAGGGGATCTCAACATCGTCTCGACGAATGCGTCCACCTGCAGAGCAAGTATGGCGAGGTGGGCACTGCTCATAACCTTTTGGCTTGCTGAGATCTCCATCTCTAGAACACCGTTTGCTGTCTGTGCGACATTGAGTGCCAAAGGATGTTCAACAGTAAGGCCCACGACATTGTCAATCTTACTCCATATTGAAGAGCAACCGTTCTCGCTGTCTTCCCCCAAATCAGGAAGAAAGTTGAACACTGCTGGATATAGACCTTGGTTCTCGGAGCGTTTTAGAATTTTTCTAATGACTCGTGCATGAATTGAGCGATGGGCTCTAGACTCTCTCTGAAAATTCGATTGCGCGATTAAGGCTTCGCGAGCGGATCTCAGCGCACGAAAAGGGACAGGTAATACAGTCGTTAGTGGTCCGACAACATCCGCTAATGTAAAGTCATCAATTCGGGTTGACCATGTCTCTGCGAATACTACGCTGCTAGTCTCCAAGTACTCCAGTAGCACGCTCCCCCAAGCTACTAGTAAAATTGATGCTACCGATGATGCACCGAGGCCGAGTGCTGCACCTTGAAGGTCTTTGTAGCTCGTTTTCAGAGCCTGAGTGTGGATTAAGAACCCTACAGCTGGGTCTTCGCTTCGCCTGCTCTTTCCAGTCAAATCAGGCCATATATTTGCATCATCAGTGGTAACGAAAGTTTCGAGTGCTTTTGACCAGAAATCCTCATCCTGATCGATTTGAGCTCCCGTCGGAAGCATCACTTGTAGAGCCTCGCGCAATTGATGCCGATGTCCTGGGCCCTCACCAAACTTCTGGTAGCTCTTACTAACATCTTCCAGGATGAAACCTAACGATGCCTCATCGCGAACAGCGTGATGAACAGAGACCATCATCACGCAATGGTTTGGCTGTTCGAAGATCGTAATGGCCACAAGCGGGTCCCTGAAGTGATCTCTTTGATGTCTTTCGGCCACAGCATGTGCTCGTTGTGTGGCAAGCTCGATCATACCGGCCTCTGACGACTTCACACATGTCCAATCAATGGTAGCCACTTCGTATATCAACTGCATAAATGTTGAGTTCGAGATGGAGGCATCGATATGATGTTCCAAAACTGCAGCTGAAGGGATGAAACCTGTACGTAATGCCTCTGTATCGCTCACAACCTGCAACCATGCCTTGCGTAAGCGGTTGTTGTCGACCTTAGCATCGAGAGAAAGAAAAGTGTTACTCCAGTAAGCGCTGGGGTTCTGCATACTTTCGCTGAGAAGAGACTCTTGCAACGGCAAAGCCGGAGCCACGTATACATCACGTCTATTTATTTCATTTGTAACCCTGGTGTACCATTCTTTGTGGAAAGCCTCTAGATCGTGTCTTTCTGTCAGATGCTCGGTGTGGGGCTTGTCAGTCGACTTCGAAAGATCATCCAGATTTTGGCACTTAAGAATATCGGCGACTGAGATGCGAAACCCTTTGGCATTGAGCAGTGGAGCTAATCTCGTTGCGGCAATGGAATCTATTCCAATCGAACGCAAGTCACAGGCTCGACTCATTGAATCCCGATGTGTTCCAGAGAGTTCCGTGACAACCGCGATGAGATCTGATTCGCGCGTGCTCCAGGTCGCTACCTCTCTGGTACTGTTGTCATTTGAAGCAAGCGTCCTTTCCCACGTTCCCAGATCGATCGAGCTGTAAATGTCTTTGAGAACAGCTTGATCGGTCTTAGCCGAAGATGTCGTTGGAATGCTATTTATCACGAGAAACACCCTTGGGATCATATAACCAGGCAAGTTGGTCTGCGCTTTAAGGAGAGCGCTCTTAGCAATTGGGATCGCTTCTTCGCTTGCAGTGAGTTGACTGGTAGGTTGCATGCTATTGTCCAATTTTGGTGCAACGAGAAACGCCACGATGACCTTTGAAGGACGGTCCGGCCGATCCAGGTATTGTATCTCGACTTGCTCGACGAGTGGATGGCAGGAACGAAGAGAAAAGCCAATCTCGCTAAGCTCGATACGGATACCTTGGATCTTGATCAGGTCATCCGTACGGCCAACAAACTCCAAAGAGCCATCGTACAGTTGGCGAACCAAATCTCCTGTCATGTATAAGTTTCTAGAACACTGCTCATTCCAAACAAATTTTTCGGAAGATCTATCTGGATCATTCCAGTAGCGCTTCGAAAGCTGGGGGCCCCCAAGAGCTAACTCGCCAATACCTTGTCTCATGAGAGGGCGATCATCGCGCATAACAAAAGTAGACACCGATACTAGAGGAAAGCCAATATTCTCGCTCTGAACTTCGTCTCCTGCAGCACCAAACTGCCTTAAAGTTGAGACTACCGTAGTCTCGGCGGGACCATACGTGTTGAAAGCTCGCATATCCTGACTCCAATCGTCTGCTATAGCCTGAGGCAACTTCTCTCCAATCATCGTGATGACCTCGAGGGTCGGACATCGCTCTCTCGGCACACTCGCCGCGAAAGCTGGGGTCAAATGCGCATGGGTTGCGTTTGTCTTGGTTGCCAGCTCGGCGAATGAGCCAAGCATGATTTCTCGGGTGGACGATATGACCGTCCCTCCAATGCCCCAGGTGTAGAACAAGTCCTGAATGAAGACATCAAACGTGAACTGAGAAAATTGTAGGCAACGCACGATGCCTCCAGCTACATCAGAAGGTATAGACCTCTGTAGAGCTCGCATACTGGTCACTGCAGCTTTGTGATGAATTGGAACGCCCTTGGGATCGCCAGTAGTCCCACTTGTCCAAATGAGATAGGCAAGGCTTCCCATCTTTGCACTAGGAGTTTTAAACACACCGGCAACAGTGTCCTCCAGACAGTTGATGTCGACAGTGGTCACGCCTTGGGGTATGCCGTCGGTGCTACCTGCAGGCTTTGGCTCAGCAACAACAAGAATTCGAGCGCCAATTCGTGCAATAAGGTGGTGGCGGCGACGAGCTGGGAAAGACGGATCGATTGGACACCAGGCCCCGCCTGTCTTCAAAATACCGAGAATGGCAATGTAGAGCTCCGGGCGCTTTTCCATGCATACTGGTATAACATCATCAGTCAAGGGGCCAAAGCGGTGGATGAGACGCGTAGCAAAACTCTCGGCTCTGTCATTGAGCTGCTCATAGGTCCACGTGGTGTTATCGCTTGATTTTTCAGAATGTATGTCCTTCCTGAAATCCAATGCCACACGGTGCGGGCTGCAACTGGCAAAACTCTCGAATTGGGCATGCAAGTGTGGTGCCTGTAGACTGAATTCTGTGGACTCCTGCAGGGCTCCATTCCATGTCGATAATAGAGAAGGGCGAATAGCAGCCAAGCTATCTGCAATCGGTTTTGCAGGATTTGCTAAAATGAATGCTAAGACATCGTCCAATTGCTCTAACATCACAAGCGCGCTAGTTTCGTTCAGAACCAGATTGATGTAGAGTACATTCAACTCCAGGGAACCGGCCAAGTCAGGCCGGGCTACAAGACTGACTGCGGGCTCATCACCTTTGAAGAGCCCATTGCTTAATTTCAAAATCCCATCGCCACGTTCAGGACAATCCTTGCTTTTCAAGGCTACAAGCGTTCCATGTTTGATCAATTCATCACGGTGAGCAGCTGGAACCACTGGCTGCTTAGATTGAAGTAGCGCCAACGCATTTGATGCTGTCAAGTGTTTAAGGATGCTGCCATTTGTTGTTTGGCCCCGCTTTTGAGGGATGTTGAGACATACTCGCGTTTGAATCGCTTGAAAGTCGTCCTCGCCTCGATGATCAGAGTTATGGCTCGCTGGGGAGGCGATAAGGGTGGTATAGATAACATCGTCCTGAGCAGCAGTGTACGTAGAAAGGATCACAGCCCAAGCAGCTTGTAGAGCTGCAATCGGCGAAGCACCAAGCGATGCTGTAGCATTGTGTAGATCGACAAGTGTCACTCTCGAGCCAATCGTCGCCGACTCTAGTTCTCCAACTTTCCCCCGTGATCTCAGGCCTGTCAAGGACGGGAAAGGGGTAGGACAACGGTCTCCGAGTGAACCCGAGTCGAAATCGGTTTTTGCGTCATGATACGAATCTGGAGAAGTCCCCTTCTGCCTGTTGGGCTCATTCTGCAGACAAAGGTTGGTAGGTACATTTGGTGATGCATGCATCAAGTCTGGGGCTGGCATCGTCATGTAATTTGTAAGAAAGTCTCTAAATACCTGCTAGGTGATTCTCCTCCTGAAGACCATAGTGTAGACGAGATCGTCGGATTTTACGATAGCCAGATTGCCGGCTATCTGCCAAATGGTGTGCATCTTGACAGTAAAGTTGGTCGCAATACTCCATCTCTCAATTTTTGCCTGCACTAGTAGCGCCGGAAACTCATCCGTTGACTGCCAAGGCCTTCAATAGACTCCTAATCGACTAGAATGCCACAGTGGTGTACCCCGGCAGAAAGAGAAGGAAAAAATCCAGAAATTGTATCAAGTAGAGTACCGATGTAGCGCCGAGCTACTACTATTGCGTGTCTGCACGAGAGCAAATGAGTATGATTATTCTACCCTTGTTCTTTATTCAATAGAACGCTAAGGTACCTTACCGTACCTTGCCATGCGGGTCGGAATAAAAAGCTCTTTATCTCGCTCTACTTATTAAATATAAATAGAATTCTTCGAATAATAAGTATCGTAGTCTTATTAAGTAGAAAGACTATAATCTCGATATAAATTCTATATATTAAAGATTAAACGTTATATAGAATCTTAATAGCGAAATTTAAGATTATTATATCGATAAGAAGAATCGAGAAGAAGTATAGTAGATAATTTATTAAAGCCTTCGAATATATATTAAGAAGATTTATAAGATATTATAGACTAAGATTAATAGCGTATTATTATATTATAGAGTATAAGATCTCGATATTACTATAAATTTTATTAATTTCTCTAAAATTATAGCTAATTTTAAAAGCGTAATTAAAAGAGAGTATACTTATTTTCTATTATTAACGCTTTTTTTAATAACGATTCGTAGTACGTATAATAATAGAAGAAGAGATACTATAATCGAAAAGAGTTAACTGAGATATAATTTATAGAGATAGAATTCTTTTAAAGAAGAAATAAAGAGAGACGGAGATAAAGTTAAGATTACTAACAAAATTTGATATTCGTAGCTAAGAAATTTAGTTACTTCCCGAATAGATACCTAACTTTCTCGATTCAGATCTTGATAGTACTTTTTAAAACTTGTCGATAGAAAGAAAGCTAGCTTTTTAGTTATAAGTCGTTCGTCTATCTAAATCGCTCGTTTACTCGAAAGCTATATATAGCTTTAAAACTTTAAAATATTAACGAATTTATATATATTTATCTATAGATTACTTCTAAATATTATCTAAACGCTATTTATATATACGTATAGTATATTCGTATAATCTATATACGCTATATCGATCGAATTGATATTTTAAAAGCTTCTTCGATAATCTTATATTTTCAAAATATGCTTATATATTTTTAACTTTAAGTTTTAAATGAAGATAAGATATTATATTAAGAATATATCTCGTAATCGCTCGTAATACTTTCCTCGAGGATTTCTTTAAGAATCGTTAAATCTTATAATATGATAATAACACGAGTAAAGGTCTATGAATTAAATTTATAATTTTTTCTTTAATTAAAGCTATCGAGTAAATAGATAAGCGAATCTTTAATAAGCGAACTTTAATAAGCGATATTTGAATTCCTTACGCTTTAATAATTATAAGACTAAACTTAAGAATTTTTTCTTCTTCTAAAAGCCCATATTTCGTTCTATAATTTAAAAATAAAAAAGTTATTCTATATATTAATAACGTATATCTATTTTTTTAATAATTAAGAACGCTAACTTATTTACTCGCGATAACTTAGTTAATCTAATTAAAAAGCGTAGTAACTTTAAATTTATAATTAACTATATATATAAATTTAAGGTTTTTAAGCTTAGCTCTATCTTATTCTTTTATATATACTAATTATTATCGATTAATACTATTTAAAACCCTCGTAAAAAATAATCTTATCTTAAGCTTTATAGTGAAAATTTTTATTCTTAATATCGAATAATTTCGATATATCTTCGAGAAACTTTACTACTCTCTAATATATCTAATATCTCTAATATCTATTCTTTCGAAGTATTTAAACTCCTCTTTACTTTATTTTAAATCTTTTTTTCTTCTTTTCTATAGTAAAGTCTAATATCGAAAAAATAAATTGAATTAAGATCTTACTTAAATAAATTAAATTTTAATAAATATTAGATAATATAGTTAACGAGTTTAACTTAATAGATATATCTTAGAATATTACTAGTATTTAATAATTATAATATTAAATTAAATATTAACTCGACGAATTTATAATTATATTAAATAAGATTTATTAAAAGCGAGATAATTTTTAAGAGATTATTACTCGATATTATATCGTTATAATAAAAGAAAATCTAGCTATAAACGATTTATTTTAGATTTATAAAATAATCGAGAAGATAAACTAACTAGTCTAAAACTTTTAGAAGAATATAATTTCTCTATAGCGAAAAGTTAATAATCTTAATTTATAGTTTATAGTTTAATAATCTTACGATCTTACTTACTTATATTATAACCTAATTAAGCTTAGCGTATTAAGATCTTTTAATCTTTCTATCTTACTATAAAGTTTATATTTATAATAATTCTATATAGATAGTATTCTCTTTATACTATAATATAGAGTTATTATATATATTATTAAGTCTCTAATATAATACTATCTATCTTTCTTCTAAAGCGATAGCGATTTATTTATTAGTTATACTAAATAAAGATATAATTAAGAAGAAAGTATATTATTAAGAAGTTAGTAGCTATAGCTAAAGAAGCTTACTATTAGAAAGATTATTTAAAAAAAAGTCTTTTATTTATATAAAGGCTAATCTAACTAGATTAAATAAGAATCTAAAGAAAATAAATATCTTTAATATATTAAAAGAAATAGACTCTAGATTAAACTTTCTTTATACTCTTACTAATTTAATATTAACTATAAATTTCTTAATCTTAAATTTAGATAATATATAAAGTTAAATCGTTATAAGTAAGTTATAGATATATTATCATCTAGAAGAACTCGAGAACTTCGATAAGAAGATCTTAAATATTATTATATTATTTATACGACGTAAAAAAAAGCGTTCTATCTCTAGAAGATATATTATTAAACTTAGTTTAGATTATATCGAAGTATAACTTATAAATATTATCGAAGAAGAGTTTATTATAATCTTTATATTTATCGCTAATTTATAGAATTTTATAAAAAGCGCTATTAATACTTCTAATACTTAATATAATAAATTAAAGACTTTAATAGAGAGTTTTCGAACTACTAGTCGTAATATTAAAGTGCTTTAATAATAAAATAAATAATTTAATTAGAATATCGCTTATATTAAGATAAAGATATTAATAATTATTATCTAGCTAAATAATAGTAATAGCTAATTATTTTATAAGCGAGAAATTAATAATAGACTTCGAGATTTATATAATAGATATCGTATTAATATTATAAAACTTATTAAAGAAAATAAGAAATTTAAGTAAGACTTAAAATATAAAGAGTAATAGTTAAAGAAGTAATAATCTTATATATTAGCTAATTTAAAAAACTTCGATAAGAAAGATATAAAGATTATATCTATATCTTATTAATCGAGTATTCTTATTAATAATATTTATCGAAATTTATATTATATCTCTATTACGAATCGCGTAGAGAATATAAAATTAAATAAATAATATCTCGATATCTCGAATTTTTATAATATTAATAATTGAGATAAGTAAGATAGCTAATATTAATATCTTAAAGCGAAATTTAAATAAAGCGCTATAATCTTTTCTATTAAACTTAAAAAAATCGATTATATATAAGATTATTATAAGTCTATTATATATAATATTATTAAAATAAGAGTAAATAAAGATATCTTAGATTTATATTAAATTATTTAAGAAATAATTAATAAATTAGATAATATATTCGAAATATATAATAAGATTATTAAATTAAATATTAAGATATTTAATTTTAAATTTAATATAAGAGTAATAGATAAGAAGAAATCGTTTAAGAACTTCTACGTATAATTCTCTATAGCTATCGCTCTCTTAAAATTTACTAATATTTATAAGATATTTAATCTAAAACGATTAATCTCTATACGTCTAAGATATCGAATTTTAAAATAGTCTTTTAATACTTTTTAAGAATTAATTATTTTTCTATAAGTATTAGATATAAATCTTTAGAGCTATTAATAATATATTAGATTTAAAAAGTAAGAAAGAGATTAATAAAATTAATAAAAACTTTATCCCCTCGAATAATTAACGTAATACTTTCTTTACTAAAAGAAATAATAATATTATTATCAAAAATTCTAATATATAAGAATATAAGTATCTTAAATTATTAATAAATAGAATTTAAAAAGAAGATAGATATTTTAAATATTTAAAGATTAGATATCGTTTTAGCGATAATAATATCTTATATAAGAATATAGATTTATTAATAAAAGAATAAGTTAATATAATTCTAAAAGCCGTCGACGTTAAGAAGAATATCTCTTATCGAATTATTATAAGAATTAAAAAATTAAATATCTTTAGTTAAGTCGTCGCTAGAGATCTAAAAGTTTTATATATAAAAATTAAAGAGTTAGAAATAGAAAGAATACTCGCTTTCATCTCTCTATTTATATTATTATTATTAAAGCCTCTTTATAAAATAAACGCTAATTAAACTTTTATAGAAAAATTATTATATTAATAAAATAGATTAAGATTAATTATCTCTCGAATATTAAAGCTTTAATATTAAGCTTTATAAATATATCTTTTATTAAAGTAAATAAGTTATTTAAAGTAGTATTAATATAATTCTATAGATTATAACTAGTCGATAATAAATCGACTTTTATCTCTAATATTATATATATAGTCTTAATAAAACTCGTCTTAGAAGATTATATAGAAGAACTTTAATACTTAATTATCTTATTAAAATAATTTAATATTATTCTAGAAATATTATAGCTAGAATAGTATAACTCTTATATATTCTTTAGATTTAGAATTATTATATTTAAT